TGCAATCCGACCCATGGGCAAAACTCCTGCAATGTCATAACAACGAAAGGCTCCACCTATGCCGTTAAAAAGACTAATAATTAAAATTGGCGCCGCTAGTGCCTCATCAAGTTGCTCCATTGTTTCTGCCGTTGCCACAAAATCTCGGCCAACGCTAGTCAATTCAGACGAAATCCCCACAGCGCCACCTGTTTCAGAAGCATCAGTTGCAACCACCGCTTCACTGCACTCTGCACCCAGGTTGCAGTGAAGCAGCGGTGACAACAACATCACACTAAACATCTCTCGTTTGGCTGCAAGCCGCAAATCCCTAGTCACTCTAATTGAACCACCAATCACCTTCCACACTTTGTCAAAAATCACCATGGCTGGACGTCGAAATTGCAAGACGAACACCCAGCGCCCCGCTAGAATCTGAAGCTGTTTCTTGTTCAACAAACGTTGCTTCAGCAGCCAAAGAGTAGCCACCGCAATTTTGCAAACCTTCTCCGTGGATACCCCCAGAGTTTTTAATTCTCCATCAATTTCAGCACCCAGTTCTGCTACCCTGGACGCAGCTGAAATCCGTTTCTTCTCACTAGAGACTACGCCTGCATCACGCCACGCATTCTCTGCCGCATCATGGCACATTTTGCCAGATACCCCTGGATGATAGGGGTCAATTCTTTCTCCAGCACAAAAATTGTCAAGATATACATGCCACCAACATCGTTCTGCTGTAGTTGCTTCTGTGAGTAATTGATTGAACCAAATAGGCAAATGTTTACCCCGCATGACTTGGTTGAGTCTATTGAGCTTCTTTTGTTTCAGTAAGTTCTCAGAAATCTCCTGCATCACTCCTACTGAATTAAGCCATCCCATTGGAATCACTGCACATGAAAGCGCAAATTGTCGATCATCGTCAAGTCCTAGATCCAATCCAGAGGCAATGATGTTGAAAGCTAGATGTGGTTTCCAGCAATCGGGAATTCGGAACAGGTAAAAAGCCGAAGACATATCACTTTGAAACAATTCAAGTTGAGAATCTCCTTCCAAAATGATGCTCTGCCAGCTAGTTATCATAGGAAGTGAACGGCAGCCTCCTTCCAACTGCAACTGCGTTGAATTTGACCCTGTCAAGTTCATGATGAGCCGAAGTACAGGGCGTCCGTCATTCAAGGTTGTTGATTTCTTAACCCCAAACAAGCCATTAAGAATCTTCACCCCATTTATTGAATAAACCTTTTCCAGCGGAACCCAATCGCAAATATTTCTACGGACTAATTCAAAAGCAATCCTCATTCGATCAGCCTCTACCACATGGACCTTACCCGGCAACCTAGGCAACTCTACTGTGTCTGGATCTCTGAGAAGCTTGGAGGGATGAAGGAGGAAATCACGGGTTGCAGGACCTACCCAATCCAACGCGTTGACACAGCCACCATGCTCTTCTGGTGGTAATGCAGGTACTACCTGATCCCAAGATAACTGATAACAGACAGAGATTTCCTCCCCTGAATAACTAACCTGTTTGCCGCACAGCTCCTTTTGCCACGCCATCTCGCTCAACGGCTCCAACCCTACGTCACCAGCGCAGCGGCGTCGCACTGCGGCTGCAATGCTGCCAATCGCACGACGTTCAATTGACGTCCAACGTCCCTGAGTCAGCACGGGTGCAAACCCAGCGACACGGTTCAAGCAGCAAGCGGTAACATATGTCCAAGCCTCAATCCTCCAGCATGCCACAAACCCTTCAGCTGTAGCTTCCTGCAAGGAAAGTGAACGGATCCGGTCTAACACACCATGCAAGTCCCCCTCTCTCAAAGGGAAAGTCGAGCCATGTCGTCCTCGACGGCCCAACCGAGCCTTGGCGACACTCATTGAAAACCAGTCGTCAACCAGCTCTTTCAATTCATCGCCCAACAAGGCGCTGCCATGCCCGGCCCTCAGCAGCCAGCACAGCGCACACCCAAGTTTACTGTAGCTAGTGCACTGGCTCACCACCTCTTTAAACAAGGCCGGCTGCACGGGTACTGCACCCAGCGCCTCATTAGAATTTGTCGACCCCCAAGCAATGTCCGCTGGACTTCTCACTTGTCCTGCGGTTTCTCCTTTTTCTTGCCTTGCTCGGGATCTGCATCTCCCTGCCATGCGCTCGTCCACCATGAACGCGGTTTGCCCTTGCCTTTTCCTCCTTTCTTGCCTTTTCCTTTGCCCTCGGCGGTGCCCTCGCTCTCGTGCCACGTGCTCCACTTGTTCTTCCCTTTTCCTTTTGCGGGTCCACGCCAGGTGTTCGACAGATCGGGGTTGGTCACCTTGGCATTCAGCTTGGCATGCTTCCGCGCTGACAGTACCACTGAACTGTCGGCTGCAGACATCTCCTCCATGGGCATGATTTCCAAAAATCGGGCTGAGCTCCAATTCCCGTCTATCAGCGACTGATGAATGCTGATAAAACGGGAAGCCAAAAGATCTCCCAACCGATCCAGCTGCCCCTGTCGGAGCAAATCTATCGCGTTGCTCAAGTGGTGCATCTCCCTCTGTTGATTCATACTGCCAGTCAGCTGGGGTCGAATCACAATGCTGAAATAGCTCGCGATTCTCACCCCCATTGTCGGGTTGTCTTCTTCTTTTGCTGAAACTTTGTTGGTGGTGTCGAGCTGAGCCCTGGCATGGTTGACCAACATCTGTAAAACCGACCCTGGCTTGGTTTTGGAACGCTTCCTCAAAGGGGGATCCAAGTCCTTCTCCGCCTCGCCCGATGACTCGCTCGACGAGGCTGTGTAACTTGACCCGGAACTGCCTGTCCCCGAGTCGTCGGATCCTCCGCCGGGGGAACCTCCTTCTTCTTTCAAACGCTTCTTCTTCCTTTTCCTTTTCTTGGAATCCTCCTTCTTCCCCTTCATGGCCTTGGTAAGGATCTTCAAGAGCCCTTTGCTGGAGCTCTCCTTCTTGTCCTTCTCCTTCTTGCGTTTCCTCATCTTCTGCGCTGACTCCGAGGCTCTCTGCACTAGCTGGCTCTGCAAGGTTGTCATAGTACCATCTTTTATAGCCAGCAGACCCTCCTTGGAGGGGCGTCCAGAAGCCTTCTTGCTCCGGCTCCTCCGCTTCTCTCGGCCAACCCGCTGCTTGCGCTCCTCCTGTGCAGGCGGCAGCTCGATCCCCGGGACCAGCGCATCGTCCAACACAGAGGCGGAATAGCCGGGCGATGCAGAGTCGCTTGAATGAACCTCCAATGGTTGGTTGCTGCGCACGGCCGCACGGCCAGCGCCACCATCCCTGTGCTTTTCGCCAAGGATCCTCTGTCGCGACTTCTCTAGCTTCCTCCTCAGCTCTTCTCGTGAGATAGTCTCCAATGGAGGAGTGCCTACTCCTACCCGTCTCGGAGCATCTTCCTCTTTCGCGGCAACATCCTTGCCCAAGCTGGCCCCAGCTTTGGGGACAGCGGCACGTGCTGGCCTCAAGGCAGGCCGGCGGATTCCTCCATCTGATGTCTCTCCTCCAGGCGGCCCATCGGCCTCTGCGTCGTCCTCTTCGTCCAGTCCTGACCATTTCTTGAGTTGGCGTTGTCCATGGGCTGACACGTAGTCGGCCCCGAACTCCTCCACTTGTATCAACCTGAACTTGTTGACGTGGCCATGCACACCCGGCGTGTCCATTGGGCAAGGATAGGTTGGGCAAAGGTGCAAAATCCCAACCCTTCGATTGAACAAGCTTGACAACTTGGTTGCAAGTGACTTCACGGCTGTGCCCACAAACTTTGCCTCCAATTCTATCCCTAAAGAGGCACCAACGCGGACGTCTGTCACCCAAAAAGCGGTCCAACCTTCTTCTATTTCCTCTCCTGGGGGCACCAAATCCTTCACCTCCATTACCACCTGACGAGGAATAACCAACGAGGACCATAACGCGTCGTCGTCGGCCGAGTACAGTGTGCCAAACACAGGTTCCTCCGTCATTGATGGTCTCTGTGACCTCCTGCACGTGACGACCTCTCGGTCGCCCGGTCGTAGTGGGTCCCGGGGGTTCGTCTATGAACCCTGGTAGAAGGCTCCTCTATAGCACGGTAGAGTCTGGGGTGCTTCCTACCTGCTCGATGGCCTCTTTTCTTTTTCTTCTTCTTCTTCCTTGTATGATCTCCTCCTCCTTCACTGTGCTCACGCTTGCGCTGATGCTCCCGCTCACGGTGAGGGGAACGAGCTTCAGTTATCCGAGGGTCTCGATCACGCTGGGGAGACCGTGCTCCAGAGGTGCGGGGTACTGCTGGTGGTGCCTTTGCAACCGTACCCGTAACCGGCTCGTCCTCTTCAGTCTCCTCCTCAGACTCTTCCTCGTAACTAGAAGCTTCAAGCTGCTCTTTCACCGGCACAGGCGGCGGAGGAGGCAGCAATAGCCTGGTGCCAGGGGGCCTGGCAATGGGAGCTGGACTGCCAGATCGGTTTAGACCCACAGCCGCACGGCGGGTGCCAGCGCTGTGTAGGCTGCTCGAGATCCCTCTCAGCGCCCTCACCGACTTGACACACCCAATGACCAGCTCGCTCGCGAAATGTCGCAGCGCTGGAGAGTGCCAAGGTGCAGTCAGCTCTCCACTTAAAGCCTCCCAAGCGCTACACCCTGTGCACCAGGTATCAGGATCGGCAGAAGCTGCTTGCCGACACTTAGCACAAGACATGCAAACAGCACCTGAAACCTGAGAGCCTAAAGAGCAATGAGCCGCATTTAAACACTGAATCTCTCTCACAAACCGTTCAAGGAACTATCTTAGACTATAATCACTATTAATCACTAAAAATTAGACTATAATCACTATTAATCACTATAAATTAGACTATAATCACTATTAATCACTAAAAATTAGACTATAATCACTAAAAATTAGACTATAATCACTATTAATCACTATAAATTAGACTATAATCACTATTAATCACTATAAATTAGACTATAAATCCACCAAAACATCATTGAGTTCTCCCCGGGGACACTTCAACCGGCGGCTTTCTTCGGCTCAGCGCCCGCGCAGAGATCATCTCCTTGGCGGCTTGAACCTGATGGAAATCGTCGGGGACGACTCGGCGACGTTTTCGACGTTTGGCCATGTGGGATGAGTTTAGCACATGGCCATCATGGGATAGTGGTGGTTAATAGTGATTAATAGTGATTTGGGGGATGGTTTATGGCATTGTTTTGTATAATCCATTCCCATGGGTGGTAAAAATGGCATTGTTTTAACATGTTTTAACCACATTAGATCATCATAGCCATTTCCGGCGTTCCTCCGTTTTCCCCCATGGCGGCCCTTTTTACCCTCTGGTAAACTAACATAGCTATTGAAAATGGCCATTTATAGTGGATTTACCCATTGAAAATGGTGATTTTCCATAGTTATGTAACAGTTTACCAGAGGGTAAGGTTTTCCACATCTTCAAACGTCACGTTTCTGGCACTGGCCAATCACTGGCCATTCCTCAGACTCCGACCGCTGCTGTTGTCTCAAAACGATCGCCTCCGTCGCTGAATGAATCCTACGGGGCATGGCCCAGGTGGCCCAGGTGGCCAGAGCTCGAGTGATCAAGGGGGTGGGGGTTGGATGGGCCTTGGGGCATGGATTACCCTCTGGTTATGTCAAAATAGCGAACTGGAAAATGGCCCAGTCGAAATAGTGGATTTACCTATGACAAATGGTGATTTTCCATAGTTTTTTGTATACGTTTACCAGAGGGTAACCATGATTAACCAATAATCCTGGATGGATTAATCATGGATAACCCATTCATCTCAGTGGGGATGTTCTCACTGGCCTATGTCCTATCCCAGGAATGCACCAAGTAGGAGCGCCACCCACAAAAGGCAAAGGCTGGGAATCTGACAGATGTTTCTTACTTTGTGATCTGAAAATTACCCTCTGGTAAACTAACATAACTATGGAAAATCACCATTTTCAATGGGTAAATCAACTATAAATGGCCATTTCAATAGCTATGTTAGTTTACCAGAGGGTATGTCGAGTTGTTGGGCTAAGTTTGATCCAAACCCCGTTTTTGCCTTCCTGCGGTTCCATGACTTTCCTGCGGTTCCATGACTTTGGACTCGATATGACTCGTGAGGGAAGCAACCTCCAGGTTCCTCTTCTTGAAAGTAAAACCACTTGTAACAGTCATGGTGTTGGTTACCATGGCCGTTCCAATCTTCACCTTTGACCATGCTGCGAATTGATCCCCTTCACATCCCAGCCGTGCGGCTCCGGGGTGATGTTCAGAATGCCCATGATCAGTGTCTGTTCACCGCGCCTGCCAGGAGAAGGCGGCGGGTCGTAAAAGCTGGGCCACCCCTGTCAATGTTGAGACCCAGTTTCACGAGAAAAATGAACCAACCTTATCCTCCAACGTGGCAATGGAAATCTCCCATTGATAGTTGATCCACTTAATTATAGGGGATCTCCGATTGCCACGTTTGATTGCCAGAGGCTACCTGGAAAAACATAAGGACTATTTATAGGTGTTGTTGTAGCTTATCATCAGGGTGCAGCTGTCTTAGGCTGGTGCAGCAAGCAATCTCGAAGAATTCATGAGGACTCTACATAGGTATCTAAAAATGAGGTATACCCCACAAATTGTCATTTTAATGTGGACAATTAATGATGATTAACCCATGGATGGAATGGGCTACCCAATTGTCAGTCGAGCCCAGAGTTTTCTGCCAGATTGAGGCATCAGCATCCCGTGAAATTCCGAAACAAATCGCGTTGAAAGTAACGACATACCCTCTGGTAAACTAACATAGCTATGGAAAATCACCATGTTTAACACTAAAAATTGCCATTTTCAATAGCTATGTTAGTTTACAAGAGGGTATTTGTACACAGCAGTTGTATTGGCTACACCAAGATGTTGATTCTTGTCCCAAGATGTCCCTAAATATTCACCATTTTCCCCATGTTCATTGCTTCAGTTTCCCATGATGTTCATGATGTTCTCCTTTTCTTCGGAAAAGTCTCTTTTTTGAAACCTCAGAAAACTTGGAAATGGATGGAAATGGCTGATAAGTTGCTTCAGTTTAACTCATGATTCGTTCCCCTTTTGTTGCTAAAAACCTCAGCAATTTCCAGCCGCGCCGCCGGCGCCGCCTCCAAAGTGCTCCCTCCTTTCGACCCATCAGACCACCGGCAGCCGGCAGCACCTCGTGGCGAAAGGGAAACCAACCGTGATTAATATGGCGATATCATTTGACGTAGTGGAAAAAATATCATAAATGTGATCTAGTTATCTGTATGTTATCTATATGTTATCTATATGTTATCTATATGTTATCTATATGTTATCTATATGTTATCTAGTTATCTATATGTTAATCCCATATGCTCCATGTATGGTATATATGCTAACATTGGGGTCATTTATGGGGTAAATGTAGGTGTGCATATTCCAGCACCATGGTTCGCATCTGGGAATATTAATGTTATCTATATCTTATCTGAATATCTAGAGATCTTAAGAGGTAGAAAAACCACATGAAAAACCACCCAATTTTCCCATGTCATTGATCATACTGGTATCCAGAATCCATAAAATTGTCCTATGGCTGGAGCAAGCCTGGAATTGGGTGCCAACAACTTCTATGATTCACTACAAAAAGGTCCCAGTCCAAAGGCCCAACCCAAAAACAACTACTCTGGTGACGTAAAACCTGACACAACTGCAGATGCAAACATGGATATCTAACTTCAATCATTAAAATGGAAACAAAAAAAAAATACAAATCGCAATCTGCCCCAACATCGAGAAAAAAATGGCGCATTCATATGGTGAATCTTGGATAGCTACCAAAAATTAAGCATTGATAGCAAAAAGTAAATCGCTATTAGTCTATTGACCATTATTAATATGGGATAACTGTTAGTGATTCATAGTGGTAAAAGTATTTTTCTATGGATGAAAATCACTACTAACCACGATCTTTTAAGCTATGACGATCATTAATCACTATTACTATGCAAGAGATAAATCACTATTCATCACTATTAACCATTATTAATGGGATAATTCACCACGATACCTGCCAAATTCATATAGTGAATCTACCCTCTGGTTAACTATTACATAACTATGGAAAATCACCATTTGTCATAGGTAAATCAACTATTTCAATGGCCATGTTCCAGTTCGCTATTTTGACATAACCAGAGAAAAACAGCGGTCGCTTGACCCATCGATTTCTCACACCTGCACGGGCCACAAGTCCAAGCTGGCTCCCGCGGGTCCATTGGCCGCGCCCGATTTCAGGCGCTCGACCAAATCCTTGGCGGGAGGAAGCCATGGAAAGCCATGGGTACCCCCCCGGATCTGAATGGAAACACCTAATATGTGAGGCCCCCAAGCCCCAAGATATCTAAGTTGGTGCAAATAACTCCAATGTCACTATGGTTTATGGTACTTATAACGAACTAGTTACTGGGGCTTTTGTTAACCAACAAACATCACTGGGGGGCCTCACATTGTAGACATATGATGTAGCCTCTGGTAATTTGACAGTTTGCGAACTTGCAAATGGCCCAGTCGAAATAGTTGATTTACCCACCAAAAATGGTGATTTTCCAACGTTTTTTATATGTTTACCAGAGGGTATAGGATCTGAATGGATGTGAAATAAATGATGAGACTTTACGAATGAATTGAATTTCTCCAGGCACGAAAAAATGAGTTCACCGATGAAATGGAGTATATACCCTCTGGTAATTTGTTACAGTTTGCTATTGAAAATTGCCATAGAAATAGTTGATTATTACCCATCAAGAATGGTGATTTTCCATACTTATGTAACAGTTTACCAGAGGGTATGGGATGTGAATGGATGTGAAACACATATGATGTTTCCTCCAAAAAAATCAGGTAAACATGTCCAGATGTCCAACGTGTTTTTCTATTTGTGGGTTGATGATTGTTGACAGGCTGTTTTACTTTCGGGGCTATTGCTTTACGATGACATTCAGAAGCACTTCTGACATTCATTTAAGCAAAAATCTGTGTGGGATGACCCATTGATCGGGAGACATCATCCCAAAAAGATCCCAAAATTGGTTCGTAAAAACCGATGATCCGTGAAACCTTGGAATAACGAAATTCCCTCAAGATGTTCCTTCAAGAATCCCCCACAAACAGATTCCAGACATGTTTTTCATCACATCCAAGCCAAAACGGGGACAGTTTTGAAGACAAGGAATCCCCTTTTCAAAGGAAAACATGAGGAATCAAGTGTCCATGACTCTTCATTGGTTAAATCATGTTAAATCCCAGTTTTCCATGGTCAAATCATCATTTTCCAACATGTGTCTGACAATAGTTCACTAACCTGAAAAGTTCGGCTTTTTTTGGGGATAATTTCCCTTACTAACCCTTCGAATTTAGCCACATGTTTGATAGTTTCCATCCATTAACATCCAAGTTATTCCATCATTGTCCCACTCTTATCCCTATTACCCTCTGGTAAACTAACATAGCTATAGAAAATGTCCAATTTATAGTTGATTTGCCTATTCAAATAGTAATTTTCCATAGTTATGTAACAGTTTACCAGGCCGGGTAAGCCACTATTGAAACCAGCTTTTAATTCCGATGATTCGTCCCGGTCGCGAAAAATCACTCCAGTGCCATGGGACACATGGGACCCAGTGCCGACGTGCCGTCGACTGCGAGACCATCCGGGAGTTGGTGAGAAAAGGGGATGAGTTGCTAACCCCTACAGGATGGGCCCCGGCCCCCCCAGTTTTTTTTGCTGCTTCATAAACCATGACAAAACCCCCATGAAAACTAGTTCATTATAATATATATATATATATATATCTACCATAAACCATAGAATTAAGCCACTGAAATAGGGCAACTTGTCTATCTTGGGGGCCCCATCCTTTATTAAACTAACCATGTTCCCTTCGTTTTCCCCGAAAAAAAACTCCAAGAAAATCGTGCAGAGCAGGCATCCGCGAGGCTGGGGGCTCCGGATAAAGTCGGATGACACCACTTGGGGTCGAGCCTTGGGTTGCGGCTTGAAAGTACAAAATTGTACAAAGTAAGGCCCCCCGTTGTGATGTGAACATTGGTTAACAAGTTAGCCCCAGTAACTAGTTCGTTATTTGCGTACCATAAACCATAGTGACATTGGAGTTATGTGAACCCCAACTTAGATATCGAACGGCGGGCCTCACATTGTAAGATTCTTGGTTTAAAGGCCATAAATCTAGTTGATTTACATATATCCTACTATGGACATCTAATAATTTATTGGATTTCCATAGTAGGATCCAGGATGTATGTAAATCAACTAGATTTATGGCCTTTAAACCAAGAATCTTACAATTTTCTACAAGTTTCCGGGAATATCATGCAATATAGACGTACAATTTGATATTTTACATCAACTAGAGATAACTAGAGTATATAAATCAGCGGAGGTGGCGATGGAAATCGTACAGAAAGCCTCTCTTAAATGGTGGTAGATCATGGAACAAAAGGGGGCATACCCTCTGGTAAATTAACATAGACCCTGAAAATCACCATTTTTTAGAGGAAACTAATCTTCCAACCCGGATGACTCCCAGGGTCGAACTGTTAATTTACTGGAGGGTACATACCAGAGCAACCTGCTACAAGACCAGAGGGTAATGGTTGCTTTTTTGGCTTTTTTAGGGGATGCGAAAGGTGATCATTTTCATTTGCTGGCATAGTTACCCTCTGGTAATTTAACATGACTATGGAAAATCACCATTTTGAATGGGAAAACTCACTATAAATGGTCATGTTCAATAGCTATGTTAGTTTACCAGAGGGTACATTGATTTTGCTTTTAAGATGTTGAAAACGTCATGTAGCAGGTATGCCAAAAAGATTCTTATAACATCTTATATAACTCTTGGGTGTGTCTGAAAATACGTGGGCTTGCCACCAAATGTCCAGTTTTTGTGTGGAAAAAATCGATGGCACGGATTTTTTCCAAACCCGGCAACCAGGTGCCGCGACCACAATGAACCTGGAATCTCCGCCAGGCCAAAAAAAATGGTTTCACCTATGAAACGGAGATAAATGGAGTACCCTCTGGTTATGACTAACATGTATATCCTATGTATATATACATATATATATATATATGGAGATAAACATTAATATCCTATGTATATATATATAATTACATATATTACCCTCTGGTTATGACTACCATAGCCAAATGGAAAGATCCACCATGCTAAAAAAAGAACGGTGAAGCATCTATTTCGATTTTTCGGGCCATCGAAAAACCATGGCGAACTGTGAATGTCATAACCAGGCCGGGTCTAATATGTTTGGAACGTGGAACCAGAATCTTCACCTGTAAAGCGGCAAACCTTCATGGAGGCCCGGCCACCAAAAGATCCCCATTTCGGGATGCTAAAACCAAAAAATGAAGCCCCACTTCTTGGTTCAAAGCAGCAGTTTGCTTTCTTCAAATCAGCATTTCTGTGAACCGCTTTCCATTGCCATCATGATTTGCGGGCTGCAGTTAGGGGTTCTGAACAGATATAAGATGATATAAGTGATATAAATATTAATCATAACATGATATCTGATGATATAAGATGTGTATATATATATACCGCCCCATAGGTCCCAACTGATATAAGTTAAACATAACAATGGCAAGTTCATCCCCCATCACTTCGGGGTCTTCGGCTTCGGCCATGGACTCCCTGGGCTTTCGGCTCGGCCATGGGCACCAGCACGAAATCCCGCTCGTGCATCAGGAGGTGTGGGACCTTTTTCGGTACTTTTTCGGAGGAAAAAATTGGAGATTTCCAGGGCGATTTCTCCATGGGAACAGGGATGGAAATTCATGGAATTGATGGATCCATCCTTCATTTACCATGGGAAAATTCGAATGGAGATATGAAAAATGGGCTACCATGGCCCATTTAGTTCGATGGGAAATCCCGAATGTTAGTATACTGGAGAGTACCAGTTGGAATGATCATTGATAGTCCATCATTAAATTGGGTTTGTCTGCAATAATGTGGAGTTTGGGTACCCCATTCCATTCCATTGGTTTAACATGTTCCCGATTCAGATTGCCATTTGGTGGTATACCCCATGTTAGACACACCCACATGGTAAACAACTCTGGGTGTGCGTCAACTACCACCATTTGTATATTATGAATCCATGTGATGAAAGACACCGGGACTGGATTTCTCAGTAGCGACTGTTCATGACTGTTCCAACTCACGACTTTGTCGCACCTGCAATGGGTACTGCCCCTCGGTGATGTTCAACACTCGCCTGCAGAATGAATCAATGAAAGCATATGCAAACCTCGCGGACATATTTCAATGGATTGGTTTAAGGGAAAATTTTAACCGGAAAGCCCCATGATCTTCATGGGAAAATCTATGGTTTCCGGTTAAGATTTTCCCCAACAAACCAATCCATTGAATATTTGGAAAGAATGACTCCAAGAAAATTACCCGTCGAGTTGTTCAAAACGCCAAAGCTGACGATCCGTTGCAATGATCCGTTGAATGTTTGTCCCGTGGCAGGTTCCCACCCAGAAATTCTTGCTGGCGACATGTGTCGCGTTAAAAGATGTGGTTCCAATGTGTTTCCACATATGATCCATTCTTGCAGCGATAAATTCGTGCCGTAATCATCTCAAATCTCCCTTTTTCTCAAATCATCACCAAAAGAAACAGCATGAATTTCATAATTCCCAGCATGTTTTGGCCAAAAATCGCCAAGACTTGCCACGTTTTCCACCGTGAAATCTCTCCAAAATCGGCTCCCGAAGGTCCCAATTGGGGTCCCCCACTGGCCCACTGCCACCATGTCCAGGTCGATGACCCTTGGACCGCGACGCACGCCCGGCCTGGGGCTCAGCCAGTCTGGTAAACATACAAAACGCTATTGAAAATGGTGTTTTAATGGGATATATGATGGTGATTCAATGGGATTTAATGGGATATATGATGGTATACCCTCTGGTTATGTCAAAATAGCTATTGAAAATGGCCATTGATGGTGGATTTACCTAGTAAAAATGGTGATGTGCCACAGCTCTGTTTGATTTTCCCTAGAGGGTGGGGCCCCCAAGATAGCGTTCAGTTGCCTTATTTCAGTGGCTTTATGGTAGATATAACGAACTAGTTAATAGGGCTTATAATGGTTTATAAACCCACTTATAACTGGGGGGCCCCATCCTGTAGAGTACCCTAGATTTGACGCTTAATCTGTTTTTGCCAGGGACATCTTCAGACTAGAACTCTGAGTGGACTTCAATCGAAATATACAATTTGACCCACCAAACTTACTGGTTTTTGGTTGAGCTACCCGTTTAAAAAAAAAAAACTACCCGTTAAAAAAGAAAAAGAAAACTTATAGTCATTGTGGATCATCACAGTTGGTTGAACATCTAAAAGAAAAACATTGAAACCACCAACCAGCCATAGTTTTTGTTGCCTCCTAGTTATATCAGCTATTTCTATCTCGCTGAAGAACTGCCATCACTGTTAAAGTTGGCACCGAAGAAAATATGATCCCAACTGGTTGTTAAATAACTATTCCGTTGATTATGGCTAAACAAAAACAATGATGCCCAATTTTCAGACCACTAAACTAGCTGATAAATTAGGCCTTACCCTCTGGTAAACTAACATTTTGCTATGGAAAACCACCCATTTTTAATAGGTAAATCAACTATTTCAATGACCATGTTCAATAGCTTTTTGTATGTTTACCATAGAAAATCACCATTTATAGTGGATTTTCCCATTAAAAATGGTGATTTTCCATAGCTATTTTGACATCACCAAGCCAGCCATCGCTATTTTTTCAGCCAGCCCATGGCACCATGGGTCTACGGACTCAGAATGGCCAAAAAACGGAATTTTGGGCCCCATCCATTGGGGCGGAAGAGCCACAGTGTTTGCTGAATTATAGAGATCATATATAGATCATATATAGATCATATATAGATCATATATAGATCATATATAGATCATATATAGATCATATATAGATCATATATAGATCATATATAGATCATGAATCATATATATTATATTATAATATATATATATATATAGATCATATATATATAATATATATCATACATCCCATGATTCATCCCCAGTGACTTTTTTTCAATATGTGACCAATCCCCATTTCGAACACAGCCAGCCGTGTGCCCAGACCCGCAGAGGCACCTCCTTCCGAGGTCATCCTCGATCCTCTTGAAGTCGGACAGAAGTCCTTGCAGATCCGCCAACCTGCGTCCGAAACGCAGCGGCTGCGGGGAGAGATCCGAAAATATGGTTGGATCCCAGTGCTTACCTACAACAAACTGGTTCAACACCAATTCATATCCTTTATTATAGTTTTTCTAAAAAAAAACATTAATATCCTATGTATATATACATGTATTACCATCTGGTTATGACTAACATAGCTAAATGGAAAGATCCACCATGCTATTATTAGGTAAACCATCTATTTCTATGGGCCATCTATACCATGGCTATGTTAGTCATAACCAGAGGGTAAAAGAAACAATAAGCTTCTGAGATACCCTCTGGTAAACTAACATAACTATGGAAAATCACCATTTTCAATGGGTAAATCCACTATTTCTATGGCCATTTTCAATAGCTATTTTGACATAACCAGAGGGTAGATGAAAGTATCAGCCGCTATGACAAGATCGGTTTTTCCTTGCTTCAAAATCAATACGTTGAATCCGAGGCTGAGTTTGCTTCTCTTCCCATGGACGGTCGTGCAGAAAATGCGTAGCTAATGCTATGGTTTGTTACCCGGTAAACCTTGTCTCCAAAAGGGGTCTTCCCCAAAAAGTAACTCTTCCCCACAAGTCACTCTGTACTTGGAAAGCTGTGTTGTTTAAGTCACTCTTCGATTTTTGTCCATCCAAAAAGCAGAGACACTCTTGTTTCTTGGCCTTTCAAGGATCCCTCCAATGCCAAATATGGATAAATTATTTATCCCCAGAAGCTATTCAGATCTGAATCCAGTTCAGCAGGGTGATCCCACGTCATATTGCTATCGTTTGATAAAACTCCCCATTTCGAATGGTTTTCAATATCAAATCTGAAGGGTCACCATGGCACCCAGCACGCCTCCCAGGACTCAGTCTCAGCATGACTACCTGGGGAGGGAGCCGAAATTGGCAACATACTGTGGTGGTGAATTTCAGGAGATTTGATCAACAAAATGTGGATAACTATATCCACTGGATTCTTCTTATTCTTCTCCTTCTTCTTCTTCTTCTGAACCGCCTCTTGTTCATGTCAAGAACACTGCGTCACTGCGTAGCGCAGTACGGCTATTGGATACTGACCCGCTATCACTGGATATCAATAATATCAACTATGGAAGAAAATGGTGAGCCCCTGAAACCCAAAATTGTGATCTCATAGTTTCTCAAAAATGGGGGGAATCTGTTGAAGCCGTTGGCTCATTGTGATCTCTAATACGGCTCTCAAAAATGGTGGAAAATGAGCTTCAAACCCATCGGATGCCACCGGCTATCCACTTGGGATGCTAGGGTGAACTCACCCGGCGGCCCCAGCTTTTTGGGATAGCCGGAGAGCCATTCTAATGGAATTCCCAATTCTTCATCTCGATACCAGATGATGTTTAATGGCATTTAATGGGATTTAATGGCATTTAATGGGATTTAATGGCATTTAATGGGATTTAATGGCATTTAATGGGATTTAATGGGATTTAATGGGATATATGATGATATACCCGGCCTGGCTTTTACATACAAAAAGCGAACTGGAAGCCATGGCCATTGAAAGTTCGTGACTTTTCCCAGCTACATAGCATGCTGGATCTGTCCAGTTCGTTATGTTTTTACGTTTACCAGAGGCTATGTTTTTCGTCTTTGGAATCCTTGGAATCTTTGTATATACATCTGGGTAAATTTTCTAATATTTCACTAACCTGAATTCTTGGGCCATGCTTCAGGGGATGATTCCCTATACATTCACCATGATTTCCAGGCTTCGGGAGGACAGGCTGAGGGGTCGTGATGAAATTTACCCAGATATAATCCATGGAGTATAGGGCCTGTATCCCAACTATGGTTTCTATTCCCAACAATTGTGTATAACTATCGTGTGACATGACCTTGACAAAGCTCCTTTAGGTCAAGCGGCTGCATTGAGAAACGCCGGCTGGTCGCTCACATACTGCGCTTTCGTGGAGTATAGGCTCGACCTGTCACGTGACACAACGACGTGACACAACGACGCATGGCATGTAGGTCTTCTGGCCATGTTTGAAGGAAAAAACACAGGAAATATCTGGAAATGGTTGAACAAATCGTGAAATAGTCATCACAAAAATCACTTTGTCCAAAATCCAGCCACAAGTTTTCATCGAAAAAAACATGGTTCCACAGAACCATCAAAACATTTCAACAAAAAAACGTCAAAGCATGTCAACAAAAAAACAGGTGTCCCTAGAAAGTCCCCATGAAATCACTCTAGTTACATCCACCATAAACCATAAAATTCAGCCTTTTTTTGGCAACTGAACGCGAGCTCGAACGGGGGTCCCATTGAGGCCCCGACGTTCTCAGCAGCTCAACGCCTTCCAAGTGCACCAAAGACTTGATGGAGCGGCTCAGGTGCCGCAACCTGCGGCTTTTTGACGCGACGAAGAGAAAAATCATGAAAAATCTGGAGGATTTAGTGGATCTAGATGGATTTAGTGCGTTTCACCCAAGAAAAACATGGGATGTCTGAGAATCTGGAGCTTCACCATGCTGCTTAATTTGTTTGATGGACGAGAGGGGCCAAGAGGCGAGAGGAGGCGAGACCCCCGAGCTTCCCCCTCAAATGTGTTCAAAGAAGCTTCTCGGGGGATACCACCCACTAGGTTGGGGGGGGACAATCATTGAACCATAAGAGGAATATCAGGTGTAAAGAAGATATTCCCTCAAAAATCGCTCAACATCAAAAAGAACGCCTATCGAAATGGTGATTTTCCCATGTTTGATGTTTAAATCTATGGTTAAAATCCCAATGTGTAGGTCAAATCGGTCAAATCCACCAGGAGTTGACCCAATCTTTGGACACTCGCACCTGTCACCAACATTGCTGCCCAGAGCAACGTAACCTCAACGGGGGTGGATCGGAAGACTTGCCGCCATGTGGAAAAAAAAACAGGGCGAACCATTCCATGCTTCCCTTCGTCCAGTGTTGATCATGTAAGCCAGAAGCTTATGGTTTTTTTCCATAAATGTGGTCAAGATACAAATTAAATTGCCATAAATGTGTGGAAATATATATGTTCATTGCACATACATACATACACTATACGTATACGTATACCTTTTACATACGTGTATATATACATACGTATATATATATATATAATTATATATACGTATGTATATTATGTATAAATCGATTTGGATCACAGGATGGTAACGCTGCCACTTAGCCTCTGGTTTCTTCGTAGCAACTGGAAATCCCTGCGGTTGATGGTTTTTGAAAATATTTCTGTGAAGGGTTTCTAGCTGGATTTTCCCACCATGTTTGATACTGGAGGATATTTACCTAATTTCACCGAGTGTTGAAGCGCGCTCGATGTAAATGGGGGAGTTTTCAACGGTTACCCCTCTATCCATCAACCGCGACAAAGATATCTACCCTCTGGTGATTTAACATAGCTATTGAAAATGGTCCAGTCGATAGAAATCGTTGATTTACCCATTAATAGCATGGTGGATCTTTCCATCGTTTTTTGTAAACCTTTACCAGAGGCTATCTGACTCCTGGAAATCTTCACGGATGCTGTTTTTCGGGCAAGCGACATAACTCGTCCCTCCCACCATCTGCCATGGCGAAGAGATCTGTTGTCGGCTGTTGCCAGCTGGGATCCATGATGAGGTCCCCCAGGAACGTGTTTGTTGCAACGTGAGGTCCCCCAGTAACGTTTCTTCGTTGTATCAAATCTTGGTTATACAACTAGTAACCATAGCACCCTCATAGCTAGTAACTAGCTAGTTGTTCACTAATAGCTCGGTTATTGGTGAAACCATAGCTAGTTCGTATCCCCCTAATCAACCATAGCATTCACCAAGTTATGATAGTGAACTGTGCGTCAAAACACAGCTATAGTTTTCACCCCAGGTGATCTCCACTTCTCACTGGTGGCAGCCTTAAGCTTGACATCAAAAATGGCCCAAGGTCATGCAGTAAATTTCACTGCCCCTGAAGGCTGGAAGACTCCATGATTTCTTCTTTGAATCACATCTTTCAGCAATTCGTTTTTGGGAATTGCTGCCAGTTAACACTGAAATATCCATAGAGTTATCCAAAATCTCTCATCATCCCATAAATAAATATAAATCTCCCCACGATTTCTGCTACCCTCTGGTAAACTGTTACATAAACTATGGAAAGATCCACCATTTTTCATGGGAAAATCCACTATTTCTATGGTGAATCTTTCCATAGTTATGTGAAAGTTCACCAGGCCGGGTAGGTTTCATTTCCGTTCCATCCCCAAGCATCCGCCGGAGCCATGGATTTTCCGAGAGCGGGGCCCGTGTCACTTGTAGGCAACGCCGAAGTAACTTTGCAGCAGCCGATCTCGGATGAAGGGATCACAACCTCGCCAGGTCACCATGCGGAAAGTTCCGTTTCCGTCCCCAGAACCGGACACAAACTATGCATATAGCAAACTCCACCAGGATTACCCTGTGGTTATTTAACTAACTGTTTGCGAAAACTGGGATAAATCACCATGTTTTTCATAGGTAAATCATCATAAATCATCTAGAAACGGGCCATTTTCCAGAAAAACCATGCGGTTTCCCCATTCGGAAACTTTTTGCATAGCAAAGTCCACCATGAAGTCTTCTGGCTAATCAAACAGGGCTGGAAAATCACAAAAGTCAGGGGGCGATCATGGGGCTATCATGTTCGGCCTTGAATTCAAATACCCTCCGGTGAACTAACATAACAATGGAAAATCACCATTTTTAATGGGAAAATCCACTATAAATGGCCATGTTCAATAGCTATGTTAGTTTACCAGAGGGTATAGAAACCAGCTCTTTAGAAACCACAACAAGTGTAACTTTCGGGGGGATTCAGTGCAGAAACTGCGTCTTCATTTCACATCGCAGCAAACATACTTGAGCAACACATGATATGTTAGTAATATTATATCTTAATATACAAACATAACTGGTTGGTGGTTTTAACCATCTTGAAAAATGATGGAGTTCGTCAATGGGTTTCGGATGACATCCCATATATGAAATGGAAAATAATCCAGTCATGTTCCAAACCACCAACCAGATATATGTATGTATATATATATATTATATTATATATATACTATATATATATTATATATATATACATACAAACATAATTTTGATATTGGGATGGTGGATCTGGTCTGTGCTTTCTGATCGCCAACGCTCCCACTGCTCCGGAACCAAAGCGAGCGCTGAGGAACCAAAGGCTCGGGGCATCAGAGATAGGACCAACACCTCAAAGCATTCCCATCGATGGTGGAACAAATTCCTGACCAACATCTAATAGTTGACTAAGTTGGTGAGGAATTGGAATCAACTTGCTGAATAATTGGTTATAAAGTTATAACTAAGTCTAAGTAATTTTCAAACTTGGTGAGCATAACTCATAGTTGGCAAAGTTGGTTTATACCTCCGATTGTGAAGAGTTTGTGATATCCACTACTTAGGGGTGCAGGACTGAGGTTACTTAGAAATGGCTATAACCATGATGAACTACCCGGCCTGGTTTTTACATACAAAAAGCGAACTGGAAAATGGTCATTTAGTTCGTGAGTTTTCCCATTAAAAATGTGGATTTTCCAGAGCTATGTTAAATTACCAGAGGGTAACACTTAATGTTTGCGATATGGGGGCAAAAAAAACTATGGTGAAACCTATCCACAAAGAGTTCACTGGAACTGCACTTCCAAGCTTGTTATCTAAGCTAGCTTTTTGGATGTGTTTCCATTTCCTGCATGATGTTCCTTGTGGTGAAACTGCGGATGGTGTGTTGCCACGATTGTGGAACACGGTCTTCAGCCCAGTACATGGTGGTGTTTCCCAGGTGGTAAAGACTTCGTGGCAAAATTTACCCACAACTGGACTAACCCTACTTACCGTTATAAGATGTTATAAGTACCTTGGATTTGATGGGGTAACCCACTTGTCAACTGTGTCAACCAAGTCGTCTGTTGCGGAAACCGTGGCGGGTATTATTTGTTGCTGCAGGCCTCAGTTTACCAACTGATTTCGATGAAACCATGGTTGTCCGCAAAATGACATCCTATTTCTTTCGTTGGGTCTATATCTGCATGGTTGTTGGTTAAATCACAATCCCATATGCTCCATGTATGGAATCTTTACCAACATGTACCCTAAAAATCACCCAGTTTTGTAGGTAAATATACCAGCACCATAGAGCGTATGAGAATGCTTGATGACTACATAATGCACCCTTTTTATCCCTTTTTGGGAGCTTCAACCATTCCTTGATGTGTTCATTCCCTTTCTTCATCGAATCATCCTCTACGCAGCGAAAACAAATGTGTGTTGTCTTGCTGCAATTCCCCATGTTTTAACTCTGTTTCTTGGTGAACTCTCCAGCTTTCATACTTAAATCATGGTTAAAATCACCCATTTCTGAGTTCTATCACCAAATTATAAAACTTGGTTGACCTACTTGGTTAATGGTGATTAATGGTGATTAATGATGGTTAATGATGGTTGATGATTAATTATCTGCTTGGTGGTATACCAAAACCTCTTCGAAAAATGATGGAGTGAGTTCGTCCGTTGGGATGATGAAATTCCCAACTGAATGGAAAAATATATAATCCGTTCATGTTCCAAACCACCAACCAGTTTGTATTAATGTCAAGTGAGGATTAATAATCCCCTCCCGATTAATCAACCACCACTGCCCCCCAAAAAAAATGTAATTTAAAAACAGGTGGTCCCCCCAGATTAATAAACCCACCCGATGAAAAAACCACCAGTGCTGAAATCCTTTTTTTATCCAACATTTTTTATTTCCAATTCTATTTATTTCCAATTGTTTTTTACATTTTTTTTAATCATCATTGTTATATTTCAGGTTTAAGTTGATCATTGAAAATTTCAAAAAACAACTATTCCCCAAATGATCGATTTCTAATTAAAATCTGTCTAAAAATCATCAGTTTGGATAGCTCCCAAAGGGTACCCCCCATGAGCCCATGTCCCCCATTAATAATAACCAGGGTTTGCCCCTGATTAATCAACCGCCTTTCTGATCCATGAAATTTTAACAAATCCAATGGAATTCTATTCAGATCTAATTGACGTAAGCCATATCCAAAGTTTTATGGTTTAGAGTTGCTTATTATTAAGGGGTCGTCAAGAAAACTAGCCAGAAGGTACCCCCCTACCTTCTGGGGGGGGGGAGGTTTATTAATCCGGTGTTGGCATTGGCCATCTATTTCTTGGGGGTTCTAAACCACCAACTATCGGATAGCTCATCAGATTGAAATCACCACTTTCAGAATAAAATGACATCCTATTTCTAAACCACCAAACAGGATAGCTAATCAGATGTAAATCGCCACCTTTCATTGGTGAAATCGTGGGTGAGATCATCGACCAACGCCTTCACCAAGACGCCGCCCGTTGAAGCTGGGCCAAGCCTCTGAGATCGCCCTTCGAGGTAAACCTGGGGGACTCACTGCGGCTGGGAACATCTAGGTTTTTGGGGAAAGGATGGTGGATTTGAAGTCACAAAAAATGCATTTCGTGGATTTAATGGTGGATTCAACCTGATCTTTAGGTTATTTGTATGTGTTTATGTGATGTTTATGTGATGTTTATGTGATGTTTATGTGATGTTTATGTGATGTTTATGTGATGTTTCTGATTTTAATGTTGTTTTTTATGTGGATTTCATGGTGAAAATGTCAAATTTGTTAAGCCCTGACCCTTCAAAGCTTCAGATCTTTCAGGAAAAACAACCAACAGAAATACTGGTTTATCATTCTGGATTTACCCTCTGGTGAACTAACGTAGCTATTGAAAATGGTGATTTAGTTCGTGGATTTTCCCATGAAAAATGGTGGATCTTTCCATTGCTATGTTAGTTCACCAGAGGGTAATCAACAAAAAAGGGGGGTTGAGCGGTTGAGACATCGAAAATTTATGATTTCACCATGAAAGTCAGGGATTCATACAATTCTTCACCATGCAAAATGCCATAAAACAAGTCTGGTTGGTGGTTTTTTCCTACCCCTCTGAAAAAATGATGGAGTGGAGTGAGTGAGTAACAGTTGGGATGGATGGAAATTCCCAACTGTTTCTGGAAAGTCATTTTTTCCATTCCATGGTTCCAGTCACCAGCAACCAGAAGTAGATGTCAGCATCAAAACCATGGATTTGATGGATTGATGGAGGTTGATGTCCATCAACCTGTGGCTCCCAAAATTTCATGTAGAGCTGGTTATGAAAAGTGTACAGCGGTTCTTCGCCAAAATTTCATGGCAGAATTTTTAAGAAATCCTCTGTAAACTTCACCTTAACCATTGAAGTTGGGATCTGACTTGTCGCCTTGGACTGAGAATTCGAAACAACGACCGAACAGCCGGCTGCACTGCAGCACCCAATTCTTTTCGTCTGGATCAAGGTATCTCAGTCCCAGCTCATTCAGGGCAACTGGAGTGAAGTAAAGCCTGGCTGGTGGCTCGCTGGAAAAACCGATGATCTCATTGGAAGGTGAAACCCCAGAGTACCAGGGTCCGGAGTCCTGACCCATAACAACTTGGCATCGGAAATGAAACAATGAAACCACCACCGAGAAGCCCCAGTGAAAAGTGTTGCTCCAGCACTGTATCCTGCAGCGCAGCGTCACCCCAACTCTGGTCGCTTCTCGGTTTCCTCAGTTGCGCCAACGAGCTCAAGGAGCTGCGAAACGTGCCATGGAGGTGTCCAAAAACAGATCGCTGATTGACCTCCAAGGCATAGAACATGTCGTTCACCTGCAAGATCTGCCCGGCCCAATCCATGGAGTCCTCCACCGTCGTCCACGTTTCGTCGCCGTTGTTCGATTTCCAGGCGGATCGGAGCTGCTGAGAGGCGCCGGAAGTGGCCAGCAACAAACATCGACGGTCACACCTGCAGGGGGCCTCGAGGGTTGAGAACTGAAATCACTTCAACTCATTGAAGATCAACTAGGTGCAGAGTATTCTTCTTAGATGGGCCATAGGATTAGCTAACTGGTTAGTAACTGGGGTTATAACCCCCTATATCCCAATTATAAGCCATTTACTAAGTAGTTAACTAACTCCATGGCCCATTAAAGTGTCATGTTGTTGGTTTTTTCATTCGATCCTCATTTAATATGCAGTTATTCAAGACCTGGCAGATATCATGCTTATCTCAGATACTCTGCATCTCTTCAAAGCTGCGTAGTTCCTTGGGGACAAACTTCAACACCAACCGTTGACCAACAGATGACCCGGTGCTTCAGCTTTTGGCACTTCCCACCTTGCTTGCCAGACATCCATCATGACCAACCACCCAATGAGTCCCTGCATGCCCACGACCGCCATCTGCTGCCAGAGATTTTCAGCCAGCCCAGCCTTTCCTGACAGATGCAGCAGCTTCAGCACTTCGTTTGGAGGCAGTAAGTCGTACCAGGCAGAACTTCCAGAAGATCTCTGCCTTGCACATAGCGAACAAACAAAGCGAACAAACTGCATTCCGGCTATGGCGGGTATGGGTCAAACCCCATGGAATCTGCTACTGGACGTCAAATAGCTGGAATTTATGGATGTGAAACGAAAACCAAATATGGCTGAATAGGTCTTGACATGTTGCGATCCACCCCCAAATACGTGTTCCAAAAAAATGATTCCCGCTTTCCGATGGATCAGTTGGAAAATAGAAAATCACCAGCAAATCCAAGTCTCAAGGGATCCTTCAAAGTTTCCCAGCACTGAAATAGCGCCTTTTCCCATCCTGAATTGGCTGCATCTGCCCATGTTCCCTGCGAAGTTCCCAAGTTCATCCGAAAATCTCCAGCTTTCGCTTTTCGGCAGGTCCACGTGATGCCCCTGCGAATCCACGGGTTCACCTCCAGCCCTTCTTCCTTGTGGAGTTGCTCCCCATTTCTGACTAAGCCTTTTTGGAAACTTGAAAATCAGACATGTTCAGGGCACACACCCTTGATCACCCTTGGTCATGGTCAGGGAACGCACACCCATGTTTGATAGTTGAGGTGATATAAATCCCCCTCAAAATCACCCATTCTCTTCCCACAAAGTCCAATCAATTCCCATACAATCCGATCAATATCCCCATTCAATCTTTCATCAAAATCTCCACATTGAAGTGGAAAATCAACATCAAAATCCCCAAGAATCATCCAAACACCCACCATCTTACCCTCTGGTAAACTAACAGTTTGCAAACTGCAAAAAATCACCATCATGGATAAATCAATGAAATTTCTATGGGCCATGGCTTCCATCATTTTCCAGTTCGCAAACTGTAACAGTCATTACCAGAGGGTAAGTATAGATATGTATAGGGTGAGTCCCCTATAATTCCCAATAGACTCACTATAAATTCCCCAGTTCTGGTGGATTTCCGATGGGATGTCCCTATAGATTCCCAGGTCCTCCATTTTTTCCATCAGCAGCAGCGCCATGCGCCACAGGCCTTTCCGCCCCGTGGCCGCCACCACTGCCCCGAAGCCCGCGGCCGTGGGGCGCAGCGACTGACGCGCCATTCGCTGCAGCAGCGCCACAGCCAGCGGCCACTGGCTGCCACGGCCACAGGCGTTGATGGCGGAGTTGAAGCTGATGGCGTTGGGCTGGACCCGTTGGAAGACCAGGTCCTGCCGAAATTTCAGGGACCTGGGTCACTACCCGGCCTGGTTTTTACATACAAAAAGCGAAACTGGAAGCCATGGCCATTGAAATAGTGGAATTAGCCATTAAAATGGTGGATCTTTCCATAGTTACGTTAGTTTACCAGAGGGTAAATGGTGTCTGAAATTAAACAATAAGTGGGAGAACCTTAGTTGTAAGTGGGGAACTCCACAGGAAAATCATCTATGATCTACTTGGAAGTTCACTTCCAGTGAACTGTTTGTGGATAGATTACACCATAGCTATGGGGGGGGCATATCCCAACAAACATGGCAACATTTCACGGTAACCAAAATGTTGGGGGGGTCCCCTCAGCAATTTATCGCGAAGTTGGTCAACATTTCACGATAAGCGTTGAGTTTATGGTGTGTGTATATTATATATATACAGTATATATGTGGAATGGAGCTTTCCATGGGGGTTTTGTATGGATTTTAATGAATGTGAATGGGATAACTTTCTATATCTATCTGGGTAATTTTTCCAATATTCCACCAACCTGAAGGGGATGATTTCCCTATATCTAAAGCATGATTCCAGGCTTCGGGAGAACAGTGAGGTCGTTACAACTTACCCAGATACATTATGGGGTGATCTATCATTTCAGTCGATTTGGCAATATATATATATATATACCTAAGATTACCTAAGACTTTCACTGTCTTTGCTGGCTGTCAAGGGGGCATCGATTACAATGTCCTGAAACTTTCCAAGGCGACTTTTGGAAAAATCTTGGGAAACTGGGGGATTATTACCACGAAAAACACAACTGGCACTTGGGAAAAATGAGGCCGGTGACGGGTATTTCAATCATCAAATTGAGGATCCATGAAGGACATCTATGCACGGAGTCCATTTGGTGAGGTTCAAGGACTTGGGATGTTGGGTGAGAGAAATCCCTTAGGAAAATTCATGGCTTTTTTTTTGGCCAATCCCCAAAGATCCACGGATTGTCCCGAGTCCTCCATGGATTTCAGCAGATCTAGGGCGATTTGCCATTGCTTCCCCTTGCCACACGCGCTGATCACCGAACTGCACAGGATGGTACTGCAGATCTTCAAACCTCTGGCTTCCCCCAACCTCAGAGCCGGGCGATCCAAAGATATCCGACATGTTGTACCACCAATTTTCTTGCTCAAATCACCATGGGTGATGGTTGAATCGCCTATGTTTGTTGCTTCAATCACCTATGTTTGTTAGTGAACAATCACCATTCTGCATAGTTAGTTAGATCACCATTTTTGATCGTTGAATCACCATCTTTGATGCTTAAATCATCTGAACAATCCACCCAATCACCACTTTTGTTGGTTAAATCATGTTAAATCGCCATCATTGGTGAAATCGCAGCTGTATTTCCCAACCGAACTCAGCACATCCAAAGGGGCAAATGCAAGGCATCCCGCCAGGCCGTTTCCACTTCGCAGGCACTGCAAGCGGCACCGAAAGTCACCACGTCCGGCGACAGCAGTCGCCTCGGTGGCGAAGCCGAACCCTCCACTGGGCAGCAAATTTGTTGCTGGTTCACTGGTTCACTACCCTTCAAGAACAGTTCGGTTTTGTAGGTTAAGTCTCCAAGAACAGTTCGTTTTTGATCGTTTTTGTAGGTTAAAGTCTCTAAGAACAGTTCGTTTTTGTACGTTAAGTCTCCAAGAACAGTTCGTTTTTGTAGGTTAAAGTCTCTAAGTTTTTTTTACCCAGTTCTAAGTGGGACAACTAGGGTGATCATCCACAAAAAAAAACAAGGTTTCAAGCTACTTACTAAGTGGGAACCACCAAGTAGATAGCAGATGTTTCACCAAATTGCACCATTTGGAGGTTTCCATAAATGGGGCTACCCCAATAGCTGGATGGTGTATTTCATGGAAAATTCTATTGAAATTCATGATTTAGGTGCTACCCCTACTTCAGCAAACCTCCATTTATCGAGGTTTCCGAAGTCATGGGGGTACCCCCAAACCATCCAGTTGTCATGACGATTACTATAGGTTTTCACAACCATGGTGCGCCTCTCATGGGATCACAATTTTAAGAAACCACCAGATCCTTTGGGTGGCATTTGATGTGTGGGTGAAGAGGATTGCTTTGAAGATCCTCACCACCAATTTCTGAATCACCCAACAACCCAAAATGTCGGCCAAAATTTCTTGACAATTCGTGACCGAGAATGGAAAGGGTGAAGCCCCCCATATTAGTTCATGTTGTAAGGGATTTATCAACCATCAGTCCTTGATGTCCTTCTGATATATTCGCCCTATTTCTGGTGGATATCCCCTATTTCTGTATGATTCATGCTCAAACCCCCGATAAATCACGGTCAAATACCACGCTAAACTGTCTAAATCCGCATGAATTTCTCCATGTTTCATGGTCATTTCTCCCACTATACCTCCGACGTATCAACCCAATCAACCTCTGATCAATATGTGGAGACCATCCCCTTTATGTATTCCAAATTTATTGGATAGTTATCAACCATTAATCATCATTTCGAATTCAAAATTTACTATTGCTTTGCTATTGGGTTTCTATTTATGGTAAAATGTATGCCACCCATTTTTCTTTACTAGTGCTTTCCCATTGCTCTACTATCATTAATCATCATTTCACTGATGTTCCTATTGCTTTAGATGCTTGAGCTCCCGTTAACATCCGATACCCCATTATAATCATCAAAACCAACTCATTGGATAGTTAGTAAATGTCATTAACCATCACCTATTCCAATCATAAAATGGTCTTCGTAAATGGTTAATCCTATCCAAAACCAAATTAGTAACCATCCAAAACATAAACTATCCAAAAAACACATCCATTCACATCCACTAACTCACTAAGTTGCTCATCATCCTACCATCCAAAAATCCAAAAATCCAAAAATTCCAAAAATCCAAAAATCCAAAAATAAAAAAAAAATATATATATATATATCCTCCGTTTTTTTTTCGGCCTCGGCATCTCCCGGAGCAGCTCCAAGGTCCGTCGCTTCGTCAAGCCGTCTGAGGCCATCAGCGCGTTGACCGAGACGCCATCGGGCCGCAGCCGCCGCGCCGGCAGCGCGGCAAAGAGCTGCAGGGCGCAAGGCCAGTGGCGGCGCAGGGCGGTGAGGACGGCGTTGTGGACGATGAGATTCCTGGGATCTGATGATTTTTATGGTGATTTCATGGGATTTTATGGTGATTTTATGGTGATTTTATGGCTGCTTGGTTGGGGCTACCTACTTGGTTATTGGTGATTAATGGTGGTTAATGGTGATTAATGATGGTTAATGATGTGAAATGATGATTAATTATCTGGTTGGTGGTTTTTTTCCTACCCCTCTGAAAAATGATGGAGTGGAGTGAAAGTCAGTTGGGATGATTTTTCATTCCCAACTGAATGGAAAGTCATAAAATTCCATGGTTCCAGTCACCACCAGATGGAATTTCATGGTATATTTTCTGAGATTTTGCAGGGTGAATTCATGGGAACAGCCCGGTTTTCCATGAAAAAAGCATGGAAAAAGGTGGAGTTCAACGGAGTTCAAGAAGCAAAGTCTGGAATTCTGCTTTACAAACGACAAAAAACGAGGAAGATTTCAGGAAACAGGGGATGAATGAAGGTTGGAGGTTGGATGTTGAAGGAGGATTTCTCTTCACGTTTCACCACTGAGGGATGTGGTGAGCGGAAATTCACCATCAAAATCTGGGGGTTTGACCATCCCTGGCGGTTTAGTAAAGCGAAGCAAGATGGGGTCTGCTGCCATGAGGTGGCTCGATTTTCCCAAGTGGTTAGTAACCAATTACAATATTACCCAGAGGATCCATGTATGGTATATATGCTAACATTGGGGGTATATGGGGGTATATTGATGGTAAATGTTACCATATATAGCATACATGGATCCTATGGGTTATATGTAACCAATTGTATAACAAGTTACTAATTTATGATTGAGGGTATTTTGTCATGTTAAGTAACCAATTGGTTATGATATGTTTGATTGTAATTCCCCGGTAGCCAGTTACGATCACCAGGGAAATTCCATGACCCATCTGGGAAGTTTTTTTTGGCCATCAGCACCTTGTGATTTGAGCAAAAATCATTGCCAATCAGCCAGATACCCTGCAAAAAATGGACCAAAATCTTTGCTGGTGAATTAGTAGATATTCCCAGCCAGATACCAAAAGACTAGTTAGGATTAGTTTGTATCCATCCAGCCGATTGACCTAGAAATGGGGATGAAGCTTTCTCCGAGGATGTTCACTGCCGATGGACATGACGTTTCTTACTGGTGCGTTTGACGTAGGGTTGCTGGATGGCTTGCTGGGGGTTGCTGGGATGATGACATGACACGAATTAGTGATGAAATGGATATTTCCCGAACATTCCCTGCGTTTAGCACCCACCGTAAAGCAGATGAGGAGTTGAATATATCTGGGAATCTCTGGAAAAGCAATTCATCTTTGATTACCAACAAAAATTGAGCTTCCCCGGGATCTTTTATGACATAAAGTTTTGAATATCTAGTGCTAATCGCAGAAACTTCACTTTAAGTTGGCTAGTCTCAATCTACCAAACGGTTAACCAAGGGGAGTGGATGTTGAATGTGGAAATGTGGATGTTGCACCTTGGGGGACAAAAAAAAATACAGCAGATGAAAATCATCTACAATGTGAGGCCCCCCAGTTATAAGTTGGTTTATAAGCCCCAGTAACTATAGTTATAAGTACCATAAACCATAGTTATTGGAGTTATAAACCAACTTAGATATCTTGGGGGCCTCACATTGTATGGATGTGAAGAACTGTTGCATTGTGCTCCAGGGAACCTCAGGAATATCTTCTGTGTCTGCGGACGTAGAGGAATTTCTCACTCCTAGGTTAGATTCTGTGACTTTGAAGCCCAAGATCTCAAAGCAACGCCATGAGTCATCATCTCAAGAAAACACGTTGCCAACAGACATCGATAGAAACATCTCAAAACGCACCGAGCAGCCACTTTTAAACAAAAGAAACGGAAAGGATGATTCCAAACTAATAATTATTGTCCTTACTAGCCCAATATTATCCCATTGATATATACCCCGTCAATATCCTATGAAATATATCCATTGAATCATTTTCCTACAGTCAAACGACAAACTCATGCCTAACTCATGCCTGGGTCAAAACTTGCTATATAGTAGATCACCATGGAATCGCTGTTTCGAGAAACTCATGCCTAAGTCATGCCCAAATCTTTAATCACCATGGAATCGCGTATGTATAAGAATATCTCCACATGTGGGAAAATCAAATGTTCGCAAAAACCCGTCTACAGTTGCACTCGTTGAGAAATACTTGCCGCTTCGGTCCGCTGACTCTTTTCGCTTTGCTGCTCCGGTTGAGAAAGAGAGAGAAAGGGAGAGAAAGGGAGAGAAAGAGAGAGAAAGAGAGAGAAAGAGAGAAAAAGAGAGAGAAAGAGAGAGAAAGAGAGGAGACATCAACCACCTTTTTTTATACCATATAGGGATATCCTATGAATCAGTGTGTTATCGCATTGCTCTTCACCACGAATCCAGGTCCTGCCACCAAACTCGCCACCAAAGGTCGCTTGCAGCGCTTGACTCTCCATGCTTTCCAAAACCTGCAGCGCCTCGCGCCAGGCTCTTCGTTGCCCCAAGCACTGCACTGCCGCCGTGAATTCTCGGGCGCGGCACATTTTTGCGCCGCATTAGACGGGCACCGCGCTTTGTTAAACGCGGGGCTTGGAAGTGCCGTGGCCACCGTTTCAGGAAAAATATGAGATGATGAACTCATCAACTTAGTTGCTATTCATTGCCAATCAGCCAGATACCCTGCAAAAAATGGACCAAAATCTTTGCTGGTTAATTAGTAGATATTCCCAGCCAGATATCAAAAGACTAGTTAGGATTAGTTTGTATCCATCTAAGATTGACCTAGTATTCTTACGAGGAACTCAGGATATCCTAGGTATTTTCATGAGATACTGTGGATGGGCCAGCGAAATCCTGCACCACTTGGAATGGTATAGAAAACCCAACAAAAAATCATGGGATGTTTACCACCTACCCTCTGGTAAACTTACATAGCTATGGAACATCACCATTTTTCATGGGAAAATCAACTATAAATGGCCATTTTCAATAGCTATGTAACAAATTACCAGGGGGTACCACCTATGTCCAACTTTTCGCCAAAAAATCCACAGATGAAATCCCAGGGCCCCGGCTTCGAGGTCAGTGCGGTGTTTTCCGCACAGGCCTCACCCGTGACCAGCCAAGTTGAAGTTGTGCAGCTTCAAAAATCCAGTCGGAGCTAACGGTGGAGCTAAAACAGTTCATGGGGACTAAATCAGTTCATGGACTATGATCATTCCCAATATATAAAAGTTAAAAGGTACCCTCTGGTAATTTAACATAGCCATGGAAAATGGCCATTTATAGTTGATTTACCCATTAAAAATGGTAATTTTCAATAGCTATGTTAGTTTACCAGAGGGTAAAAGGTAGGTCAATAACTCCACCAAAATCACCAACGAAATACTAGGATGCATGGCACAAAGGTTGCAGGTCCCGCACTAAAAAGGGGACTGGACAAGTCCCAAAATGTCGAGTTATACCCCCATAAAATCATGAAATCGTTGGTTTAATCGTTGGTTTAATCGTTTAATCCCTACCTTTTTTGGGGAGCTAAATCCACGTTGATGCTTCGTATCCGTGTATATCTCATGCTGTTGGTGAAAGATCCCAACTCGATATCCCCATAAATACATCACCGTAAATCATCATCCCTCTATACTTCTTGCTGAATCAAACTCATCTATATAAATGAAGCCGTTTGGGGATGATTCCCAAATCACCACAATTCCACGAACGCCACGACGGTCATGATCAAATGCAGCCAGATATCTCCTTAGTATCCCATAAATCATCAGAAATCATAAAAAAACGCCAGAAATCATCAAAAAATCACCAGAAATCATCAAAAAATCACCAGACATCATCAAAAAATCACCAGAAATCATCAAGAAATCACCAGAAATCATCAAGAAATCACCAGACATCATCATCAATCCCCATGAATCCCAGCATATCCCCATGAGTCTCCATGATTCTCCCCATGTTTCTTCCGCCTCCTCAAGCTCCTTCTGCCAATTCTTCAGCCTCAGTCAGTACACCGAAGTTTGCACCAGAATCAGAAAAGCCATGTCTAAATCAGAAATCGTAGAGCCAGGATCTGAACTTTCAACATGTTTTTGGTCAACAAAAACGGCTCCAGAACATGAGAGTCTTAACTTTAGGAATTCAATGGAATTCAACTTGAATGTTCTGAGAAACTTAGAAATTGCACCTTTTCAACGCCTGTTTTTTTTTAGAGAAAGAACTCAGCCGTCAACAACGGCATGAGCGGATCGGAGGGCAGGCGCATGGAGGGTTGCCAAGCACTCGCCGAGCCTGTAAGCTTCGATGTTGGCCATGGGGCATGGGAAATGATGGGATTTTTTTGGGGGTCCTACCTAAGTCATGGGGGTAGCCCTTAAAATGACTGAAAAAATGGCAGATTTATAGATGGTTTACCGTTCTTAAACATGGTGAATTTCCATGGCGAACTGTTAGTCATAACCAGATGGTAAAATGGGTGGTTGATTGATGTTGATGAAATAAGGAAAATCATCTGCAAATGGATGAGAACTGGATGAGTACCCGAGTACCCCCATGACTTCGGAAAGCTCCAGATTATCTGGAAGGGTCAAGTTACATGGTAGGAATTCACCATGGATTTTACCATGAACAAGATGGATCACAATGGAAAGAGAACGAAAAAAATCATGTGTGGCTATAACATGGTATAACCCATTTTTTCCAACTGACACCTGATATATGTTGCCCTCAGGGGGTCGCTTGGGGGTCTCTGATAGTCCATGTGCTGCGGGGCTGCGGACTTACAAAATGGTCCCAAAATGGTCCCCCCCGGGGCCCTGGCTATGTATGTGGCTTGAGTTGCACCCATCTAGCTATACACCTAAGACAAACCAATTAGATAACCAAGTTCTACTGGGTAGACCGAATTGTAGGATGTGGGCTGATGTGGATTAAAATCACCAGGCTGGAAGAACAGAAAGAACAGAAAGAACAGAGATATGTAGAAATCCGACTTCCTCAACTTTCCAGAAAATGCGAAGCAGAGATTCCCTTCGAAAACCCATGGACCATGAACAATATCCATCTTGGCAGAGAAAAAAAAATCAGAATTGGGTATGGGTCAATACCTATAGATACATTTTTAGTGGGTTATTCACATCCATTTTAACCCAGCTATTTTGGGGTTCACGGCACGGTACCAGGGTTTTGACCCATCCCCAATTGGGATGAAACTGATGAGACTGGTGCGTTTGACGTAGGGTTGCTGGATGGGTTACTGGGGGTTGCTGGGATGATGATTACTAGTGATGATTATGAATCATTCCCGAAAATTCCCTGCGTTTAGCACCCACCAGTAAGAAAAAAAACTCACCTCAAACCAACAAATATCAACAAATATCAACAAATATCAACAAATAGCCATAGAATGCCATAGATGTCTTTTCCAATGTCCGTGAAATTGCCACGTCCATTGCAATCCGAAAACACCTGGGACCTCCCAAAACTCCGGAATTGCCAACGGGATTCTCACAACGGATCAATGATAATCCATAAAATACAATTAACATGTAGGTTAATAATGATCATGATTATAATCCACACTGTTATTGGATTATAAATTATAATCATGATGGATAATACATAACATATTGGATATTTTCTCACACTGTTAATAAGTTCATAATCCAATATTTGCAGGGAAACAAAAACACATATAATCATTATGTATATTATATATATATATATCAGTTATATCAGTTGTATCATCAACTTGAGCTTGCATGGCGGTTTGGGTTGGTGCTTTGGAAGTCTGGGAATTCATGGATTTTATGAACCTAACCTTTTTACCATCCCGGCTGCACCTGGTTCTGCCGCTTTCAAGGTAAAGCTCAGTTTCTGCCCCACAGCGTCCGAAATCTTCACCTTGAAATACGAAAGGATGGGGAAGTTTCAACAGGTGAAAATTGGCATGTGATGATGTGACTGTGTCTAGAAGACTTGGGAGTTTTTTCTTTAAAGCGACGAAAAAAAAAAGTTCACCTGCCACAATCGACAATTGGAATTGAACCAGTTCAGGAAAACTGGGGAGTTTCATTGCTTGGTTTAAGGGATATTCTTGCAGGATATCATGCTTTTTGGACCCCAAAAAAAAAGCAGTTCCGGTGTTTCGATTTTCCTCAAGGCAGTTCTGGGCTGAATGCTTTCCAGCACGCGGCCACTCTCAGATACTTCGCAAATCAATATCTGAGATGATGATTTTCTCACATTATCAGTTACGCCCCGTCCTAATGGCGAAACAACCTTGGCTTTCACAAAAAAATAACCACAGATTGACCAGTATCAACCAACAAAATTGGGGCTGTGGAAGCAACGATTAAAATTGGGATTGTTAAAAGCAAGTGAGCTGAAAAAATGTAATTGTACATTGAAAGAATAAGAAGGATGCCAAAAAAACGCCACCAGTGATTGGGATGGATATATCACAAGTCTGGCAGTGGTGGTCAATATGTCTATAACATCAACCTTTTCAGTTGGCCAGGTTCATTCAAATAGATCACGTATTACGTCAAGCTTCCAAAAGAAAAAGTCTGATGTCATCTAATTAATGTCCTATTGTTATCTAGTGTTCATGGACCTTCGCAATGTCCTTTACCACTTCTCGGGTTTGCTTTAACGAACCCCGAAAAAAACACCAAACCCCACAAAAGATTCCCCAGTTCCGATGAATTTCCGAAGAAAATGCCCAAAAAATCCACCTTCATGGCCCCAAAAAACCAGGGAATCCCCTAGCGATTTCCGAAAACATGCCATGACCTGAGACCCCCCCGAGGTACCTCCAAGCTAAAGCGATCTCCCTTCGTCACCCGCATGGGACCCAGGGGAAGCAACGGCTGATGCCAGTGGGTGCCATAGCGACCACCCAAGGCCATCGGCCTTGGAAAATGTCAACCGATGGCCGGGACTAAACACCAAATCAATGGCCATACCATCTGGTTATTTGTTACATAGCCATGGTTTTTCGATGGCCCTAATCGAAATAGATTGTTTACCTATTACTAGCATGGTGGATCTTTCCATGGCGAACTGTTAGTCATAACCAAAGGCTATATGGTTAATGGTTAATCGATGGTGATTTGCATCAATAAGCCCCTGATATCACTGGGAATTTCAGGAACCGAGAAAAAGGACGGAGGTACCTGAGGTACCGATTCCATAGAAAAAAGGCCTTTTTGTTAAGGCCTATGTAAGGAAAATATCCCCAGAAAATATAGCCTTAGATGGTACGTTTACGTACCTCCATAAATTGGATCCTGAAGATCTCCCATCGACCAAAGTCACCAAACCAAGGAACAACAAAAAGAGAAGTGCCATTTTACCACCATGAAATATGGTAAATGTGTGTTGTTAGAAGTGTCATAAGCATCATAACCATGCAAGTCCACTAAGTCTTGTTGATTGGTTGTCATTTTAATCGCTAAATGGTGATTATTCAATTGATCAAATGGTGACTTGTTGATTGTGACCTCAGAGTGAAAATAGCTCGCATGTCATTGACATACTGGTTGGGTTTTATAGGCTGAATAGGTATTGGTATTCAATAGTTGTGGGTTAGTTCACAATCTCGATTAGACCAGGTATGACCTGACAAAAAATAGCAACCAACAGTGGGATGTTTTTGATGGCTCACTTGGAACCCTGATCATCAGATGTGGCAAAGATTGGAAAAAACGATGCAAGAGAAAAAAAAAAAACAGTTGATTTGCGGTGCTTGGAAATAGATCGGCCTTGAGAAAATACATACAGTAACGACACATCTGGGGATTTGTTCCTTTTCCAACAACCCACTGCGAACCACATGTTGTTTCTCCTTGGCAACGACCATCAGTTTCTCCCCGGCCCTTGTTGGGGGTCACCACTTTGTTCGGCGGAAATCTCGGTGTTTGATGGTCAAAAAAAAACACCAGTTACCAGTTACGAGTTAACCAGATAAACTGCTATGGTTATATAAATAATGATTATTTTATAACAGATCTGAATATGTTTTTTGCAGTTTATATGAATAACTATAATTGACTGGTTAATAAACTGCTATAATTAGCCATTATACCTGGTAATTATTAATGGTTAATAATGAACTGCTATGGTTAATATAGTGAATAATGGTTATTTTTTTCACCAGATCAAACATACCCTCTGGTAATTATTAATGGTTAATAGTGAATAATGGTTATTGATGGTGATGAATGGTTGGTTTGATGATGGCTACCCTCTGGTAAACATACAAAAAGCGAACTGGAAAATGGCCCAGTCGAAATACTTGATTTACCCATTTTCATAGCATGGTGGATCTTTCCATCGGTTTTTCTGCGAGTTTACCAGAGGGTACTCATGAGTACTCCCAGGTCACAACAGGTCCCAGACCTGTTGGACAAGTTTTCCATCTCATCCAGCTGAACTTCCCACAACCAAAGTAGGCAATTGGCCACCTGCAAGAGGGGTCCAGATTGGAACGTGCCGCTGAAATATAGCAGAAAACAAATGAAAAAATATCCTTGGAATATAATATATGGTGCATATGGAGTGTATATATATATGTATTTATTCATTGATTTATAGATGTGGTGCATATTTATATATTATATGTGATATATATATATATGCGGGTGTGTGATATATATATATATGTGATATATATATATATATGCGGGTGTGTGATATATATATATGTGATATATATATATATGTGATATATATGTATGTGATATATATATATATATGTGATATATATATATATGTGATACATATATATATATATGTGATATATATATATATGTGATATATATATGTGATATATATATGTGATATATATATATATGTGTGTGTGATATATATATATATGTGATACATACATATATATATATATATGTGATATATATATATGTGTGATATATATATATATACTGAAATGTATATCAACTGAACTATACTAAACGTATGGTTCGAATGTGGAATGGAAATATGGTCTAAAATGCGGGTTGGAACATGGAATGTCAGTGAATCTAGTGGATGTTTGGTGAGTTTGGTCGATGGGAATTTCAGGATCCTAAAATGGAGGTACTGTACCATCTAAGGCTATATGTTGTGGTGATATTCACTTACATAGGCCTGAAAAATAGGCCTTATATATGGTAGGTACCTCCAATTTATGATCCTGAAATTCCCATTGACATTAGGTGGTTTGAAAAAAAGTGGTTAAATTTCACCATCTCAACCATTGATTAGATGATATTAGGATATGGTTTCATATACCAAAGAAATGAATCCTCATGATATGGTTTAAAATATGGTTATCGATGGTTTGATGATTGAAATTTGATTTCTGGTTAAATTATGCCAAATAATTCTTGAACTTTGGCAAACATCTCATTGACTCCCTGGATGATTGTCCAGGAAGGGGCTGATTTCTGCAAACCTTTGGACTTAGTTTAGATCTGAGAAAAGCTGTTGGGTCGGTTGCTTGCTTCGCTTTCAGACACCCGAGAATCGGAGAAAATCCTAGTTGAGGAGAGAAACCATCTCTACATCTGACCACAAAAAAAATCCCTCAAGAAGCACCAAAAAGTGTTGTTTCCTGGTTTATTCCTATCTAACTATAGTCATGTCATCCATAATTCAACAGTTTCCCTGGCTATCACAGCATTTTTTGTGCTTTGGAAACTCAATTCCTAGCTCCAACCGGCTCTCCACTTAGGAATGCATTCGGAATGGATAGGAAATTGTGTGGGATTTGTTTTTTGTGTTTGGATCTGATTTTTAGATTTCTGGTTGGGTATGTTTTCAATGCTATTTGCAGCATCTGGAAGCTGGAACCTTCGTTTTGCATGGTATTTATGTAGCATTTCGGGGCTGCAAGTATCTATTTATCTATTGTGTATGCTATTTGCAGCACATTGGGAGCTGGAACCTTCATTTCGCATACAGTATTATTTGCAGCATTTCGCAGTTTCAAGTTTACTTTTTGAAAGGTATTTGTACGATGTCAAGGCTGCATGTTTGGATTTTGTATAATATATGCACGATTTTGGGTCAGCAAGCTGGCATTTTGGCTGGTGCTTGTAACATGTGCGAGATGAAGCCTTGTTTGTGTTTTTGCTGTTGTTGCAGCAGCTGCTGCTGCTGCTGCTGTTGTTGTTGTTGCTGTTGTTGTGGTGGTGGTAGTTGTTGCTGCTGCTGAGGTGGTGGTGGTGTTCTCGTTTCTGTTCTTGCTTTTGTTCTTGGTTGATGCTCTTCTTGTTATTGTTATTGTTCTTGTTCTGGCTCTTGGTTCTTGAATGTTGTTGTTATTCTTATTGTCAGTCTTGTTCTTGGGTGTTGGTTTTGGTGTTTGTAATGGCGCTGATGGCATTGTTGGTGTTGCTGGTGTCGTCAACGTTGTGTTGGTGTTATGTAGGTGTTGTGTAGTTAATGTCGGTGTTGTTGTTATGGTGGTTGTGGGTGTGGGTGTGGTTGCCGTGGTTGTTGTTGTTGATGATATGATCATATGATGAGATGATGATGATGATGATGACGACTTTGTTGTTGTCGTTGGTGGTTGCTGCGCCTTCGCACTCATTGGTCTCCGATGGTGCTTTAGGCTTGTTTGATCTTGATCTGGATCAAGAACCAGGTAGCGAAGAAAAAACATATAGGATTCAAGATGATGAAGCAACAGCAAAAAACGAAAAGCGGAAAAACAAAAAAAAAACTGGAAAGGCAAAAAAGCAGAGAAGCAAAGAAGCAGTACCGTAGACCAGAAGAAATCCCCCCCAAAAAAAAACTAAGCTCAAAAAAAAAACAAATAAATGGTCCTCCCTTAGGAATGTGTCAATTCGAAACCGCTCCGAATTCGGCCGTTTTTTGGGGCCCCATACCCCGTCTGTAGAGGCCACCAACTCCACCTGGAAGTGAAACGAAGCCAATGGTTATGACTAATATAGCCATGGTATAGATGGCCCATGGAAATAGATGGTTTTTACCTATTAAAAATGGTGATTTTCCATGGATATGTTAAATAACCAGATGGTAACTAACGCTAACTATATATGATCTATGATTTTACCGTTCTTAAAAATGAGTGGAATCGTCCACTTCGCAAACTGTTAGTCTGTCATAACCAGATGGTAAGCCAAAAAATCTCATAAATCATGGTTGACGGTGTCCTGAAGAGTTTAGTCCACACTGGGAGTTTTTTTGTTGTTTCACAAACAGAAACAACCACAAATAAAAAATGTTCTCAACCACCAACCAGAATATAATGAATCATGGTTTGGGTCTCTTTGGGGCTTGCAGTTGCAGAATTGGATATATCATGATATATCATGATTCATATAGCTATATAACTTATAAAAACCATGGCTTTGGGGGAAAAAAAAACTCCCAACTTACACGGGTAATTACCATGGGTGATATTTATCACTAACCCCACCCAAGGCGTCCATCATCCCTGATGTTTTCCACTGGATGATGTGAAAATAACATTGTGGAAGCCACCACTTCCGGAATTTGTTGGGAGAAAATGCTAGAAAGGATATCCTCTGGTAAACTACCATAACTATGGAAAATCACCATTTTTAATGGGAAAACTCACTATTTCTGTGGCCTTTTTCAATATCTATCTTTGTATGTTTACCAGAGGATATTGCCACCAGAACAATGGAACCATGGTGAACTACCAAAAACTGGCTTCGCAGGTTATTGGAAGGTTAGGAAGGATGATGCATATGATGCATCCAAAGAACTTGGCAGCTTGTTGGAAAGTAACCTGAAGCTTCAGGTGATTTTTAAAAACAACATATGGTTTTGCCCAGAAATGTGGGGCACCCCCTTGGAAAATTGCCAATCCAAATCCAAATCTCTACCTCCTGAACTTGAAAAAATGGTTTCCTCAGCGCACTTTTTGGGTCCACTGTGCAAGACAAGGCGTTTTGGAACAGGAGCAGGTTTTGGACTTTACAACTGCACTGCATTCGCAGCACTCTTTGGTGCGAATCAAGCCCCAGAACTAAGAATCCAGCCGCCATTTCAGGCTAGGACTGGCCAATATAGAGAAACCCCCGCTGGAACAAACTGAAACCAGCATCCCAAGAATCACGGGAGAGCTGCGAAAAAGCGGAGGCTATTATGCACGAATGTCTTAGTTTCACCCCACTAACATCCATTAACTAGTTCGATACATCTAATAAACCCTATATAAGTCAACAAACAATCTATTCAAATCAATTCCAAATCCCAAGTTTTCCTGCTGAAAATTAAATCCCAGTCCTTACTGCTCAACTTCGACATTTTCCCAAATCCACACGTCTGTTGAGTGCTTCAATCCACATTTTTGGGTTAAACTCATCATTTCCAGAGGTGATCACCTCCAATTTTTTCGGCTTCCCCAAGCCCGACCACGTCGTCCCCGCTCCGTTCCGGGTCCGGTTCCGCGGCCGGCGGCCGAGGACTCCGAGGACTCCGAGGACTTCGAGGACTTCGACGCGGCGGCGCCGCTGCGCCGCGCCGGGCGGCCGGAAATCGAGGCGCTGAGGAGAGGCACACGCCACATCTCCTCATTTCCGCGCCAAGTCCCATATGCTCCATGTATGGAATATTTACCTACATTTGGGTGATTTTTGGGCAAATGTTGGTAAATATTCCATACATTGAGCATATGGGAGTGATTTGGTTCAAAAGAATCAACTCATTCTTCAATTCCCCGATATCTCATTGACTGGGAAAAATATGAAAAAAAAAAGCAGAAAAACCTATTTTTAGTAGAATCGAAGTCTCATAAGCATCATCCCAGGACATGTAGAAGGGATTCTGATATTCCTTCAAGGCATCAATTTGATGGATCCAGGGGTGTCCGGCCCTGGTGGTCGCCACGTGTTCCTGGGGAGTGAAACACGAATCGACATCGGGGGCCCCCGGTTCCGGTTGACCTGAAAAGTATTGGAAAAGGAACACATTGGGTGATTGAAAACAGCATGTCCAAAAAACGGCCGGAGTTCAAGGTTTTTCTCGATGTGACAACCATGTGACAAAGCCAAATTCTATTCTTGGCTACATAAGTGATATACATTCCATGATTGATTATGGATTCAATCCCAATTCATTTCGTAAATCGTCCAAGATGCCGACGCCACATTATGGGCGTGGTGCCACCAGCGCGCGATCTGCATCCCGTTCCCATCCAGCGGGGGGAGGTTGAACTGCTTAATGACACCGACTTCAAAGAAGCTCCGGCAGTCGTTGCACCAAAAGTTCTGTGCCTATTTTTTCCCATGCGGTGACCAAAACGCCAAAAAAGAGTGAGGGGCTCTTTTTTTTGATGAAATCCATACTTCATCGGGATTCAAAAGGAAAAATAAAATAAGTCGGCCAAGCTGATTTCTTATTTTTAGACTTCGAATAACTCCTGGGTTTATCGTAACGTATCAAAGATATCAAGGTAGATATATTGGTTGCAAACCAGCGGAACGGAAGGCCGGGAACTAGGCTTCTATTCTGGGACCAAAGGGATGAAAGATTGGAAGGTGCAGGGCACATCGGATGGATATCAGAATTTGAGGATCTCGGCAATCAGAAAAGGGACGTGTTCACCAAGAAAACTGGTACCATTCCGTGGCTTCACGGGGTCAAGCAAGGTTTAGACAAACCACAAGTGGAAAATGCTCATGTTGGGCAGATATCTTTGCTAAACCCGTATGAAATGGTTTCGCAAATGATATTTTGGAGGCAAAGGATATGTTTGGGGATATGTTCCACATTTTCAGTCCTTGGTATCATTGTTTGACAAATAACAAAACCACTCAAGGACGAATAGCCCAAACAAAAAAAAAGATTCTCGCAGGAAAACACCTCATCTTGGCAGGATCGCCATCAATTGCGGTATGCCATGCCTTTCCGGGAAAAAAACATAAATAAATCATAATAAATCCAGTTGTTGGAAGATGTTTGTTGCTGTAATATGTTATTATCCCCCATTGAAACTTCCTTGATTTGAGCAAACAAAGGGAAACTTGGCCGTTTACCCTGGAGCTCTCGCGTCTCAAAGCTGCTGAAGAATTCCTTTCAGAACCAATTCTGGAACAAAATTCATGGTTTAAAATGTTTTGAACCTCTCCATCCCTTCAAAATTGCCATGAATTAGTGTATTCCCCGTTAGATTTACAAACATCACACCGTTATATCCCTTAATCCATATTATTTTTTTCTTTTTTGATGTCTAATTGTTGGAGGTTGATCCCTTTTGAAATCTTTTGTAGTATCAATCTAGTACCATGATCACAAGATTCATGTCGCAGTAAATAGTAACGCCCAGTTGCCAACAATGTCGCAAGCGCCTGCGAGGCTAAGGCTTTGCTTTCCGTGATTTGCAGATCGATCAAGTTGAAGGTAAAGAAATGGACCAAACTCCAGACCTCAGCAGAAAACGCCTCTGGGGGATACCATCTGGTGATGACATTCACAGTTTGCCATGGAAAGATCCACCATTTTTAAGAACGGTAAACCCAAATAAACCATGGGCCATCGTTACCATGGCTATGTCAAGTTACCAAACAAAACTGCGAGAGCAGAAGACAAAACTGGGAGACAAGGCGGCAGCGGCAGGGAAGGCCGGCGATCATGAAGGGAGACAAGTGCTGGGAGTCAATCAGGATCCCCTGAATATTAAAGGAAGAACCCCTATAGGCCTTATAGTTAATGTTATCTTGGGAAAAATGTCAGAAATCAAAGAACCAGCACGAAAATTATGACTGAAACCAGCAAACCAGCCACCTTGTTGGGCTGAGCAGCCAAGATGTGTGCCTCCGTTAGTAGGTGCGACACCATGGTGTTGCTCTCATCTGACTGGCTTGCACACTGCACTGAGGCCTGCTGGGGCGTCATGTGCTCATGTTTCACCTGAGATCCAGCCGCCGTTTCGGATGCTTCGGGGCCTTCCTACCGCCATCCCCATCGTTAACCCCCATTCTAAGTAGCGTTATTTGGTTGTAGCGCCATTATATCATCTCATAAAATCCCATATCATGACCAGGTGGAAGTTTCGAAAATTTCTTTGTAGGAAGAAAATGGCCTGTAGAAAAAAAAAGAGATACAGAAGCAACGAAGCGTTGAAGTTGCGAGGCGCATCAACGAATGTGCATATTTCAGATTGTGGTTGAGATGCCAATGAAATGACATGAAAGAATACATGCACAACTGACTGAATGAATCAATGAGCCAATGACCCGATCAAGCAGTGAACAATGAATCAGTAAAACGATGAAAGAACGAAGCAATGAAACAATGAATCAATGAGACGAAAATCAATCAAACAATGAATCAAGAAAGAAATGAACCATTGACGCAACGAAGCAAGGAATCAATGAATGAGTGAAGCAGTGAGACGATGAATCAATGAAGCAATGAAGCACTCAATGCATTAACGAAATCAAATGAAATGAAAATGAAACATGAAGGAAGGAAGGAAGGAAGGAAGGAATCAATCAAGCAATGAATGAACAACGAATGAACAAATGAACGAATGAACGAACAAATGAATGAATGAATCGATAAACCAATTAATCAAGGAATCAAAGAATTAATGAGTCAGTGAATCAATGAAACAAGGAATCAGCGAATCAATGAACCAATGAATGGAATCAATGAACCATTGAATCAGCGAACCAATGAACCAATGAATCAGAGAATGAACGAATGAACGAATGCATGAACTGACGGATGGATGGATGGATGGATGGACGGATGGATGGATGGATGGACGGATGGATGGATAAGTAAGCTACTTCTTTGTTGAGCTACTTCTTGAGCGAGCTTTTCGCTGAAGTGCCTCTTCTCTCAGCTACTTCTTCTCTGGGCAGCCCCTAGACAGCATGCTGCTTCTTCTCTGATCCGCGTCTGCTCTGCATGAACTCCCTCCCAGCTATATACCTGTGTTGTAACTTCTGCAACCCAATTCTTCTCTTTGCGCATCTGTTATATTGCGCTTAGCAGCTTAGCAACCTCCAACTGCAATCCCGCATAACACAAGAACGCCACTGTTGTGAAAAACTACCTTTTGCGCAGCTGTTACAATGCATTTGGCAACCTCCACCTGCAATCCCCCATAGCGGGGGCGTCGCAACGTCACTGACGCTTTGCTGCACGCAGCCCCGCCCATGCATTTTGTCACAACCGGTTGCAAATCCGCCTAGCAGGAGCGTCGCACCAAATCGACCAACATCCGCGCAGCGTCAACAATGCGCACTCCACCACACAAATCCGGCGCCGCTCCAAACTGGCCAGTTTTTTGCGATGTTCGTCTGAAATCAAGCTCTCTTTACAGTCTGGTGCACATTTTGCCGACCTCATCTTCCAAAAGTGCTCCAAACGTGACAGCTTTAAACATTTTGAAGTGCAAATCGAGCTCTCGCTACAGTCTGCATGCCTTTTGTCGACAACCTTTTTGTCGACAACTTCACCAAATCGAGCCGTGGAATTGCGGAAACACACCCTACTTCGGCAAGCCCAGGAGCCACATTGCCCCAAAAAAACACAGGGTTTCGCGCCCGAGAGCGCTTTCACCCGTGAACTCACACGCTTCCGAACTGTTACACTTCCCAACTACTTGATGATTGTGGTGATGAAAATGAAGATGGTGATGATGATGATGATGATGATGGTGATGATGATGATGATGGTGATGATAAGGATGATGATGACGATGATGATGATGATGACGACGATGATGATGATGACGACGATGATGATGATGATGGTGATGATGATGATGATGATGATGACGATGACGATGACGATGACGATGACGATGACGATGACGATGATGATGATGATGATGATGATGATGGTGATGGTGATGGTGATGGTGATGGTGATGGTGATGGTGGTGATGGTGATGTTGGTGATGATGATGATGATGATGTGGTTGACATGATGATGGGGTTGACATGATGATGGGGTTGACATGATGATGGGGTTGACATGATGATGGGGTTGACATGATGATGGGGTTGACATGATGATGGGGTTGACACGGTGATGTGGTTAGCATGGTGATGTGGTTGACATGATGATGCCGTTGACATGACGGTATAAATGCTAACCATGACCATCGTCCGTAACTCAGAAGTTTTCCAACTATATAAATTTCCACTGATTAAACACCCCTTCCTATTACCTAAATATGTGTTTCTACCCCTACTTTTTACCACGTTTTCTAGGGGTGTTGAATATTAAGGGACTGGGATGAAATGACATTCGAGTGGAACCAATGGGAAAATAGAAAAACAAAAGGATCAACAAATCGAAGTTGCCAAATACTCAAAGGGATCTGGCAGCATCTCTCCTGTCGATGTTGGATAGAAAAATGTCTGGGGGATCGCTGCCTATCTTCGTTTTGCTGCCATCTTTTTGGGCATGGAAAATCACAGATGTCGTTTTGGGCACCAGCCACAAGTTCTGTAATCATGGTTTCAATCCCCAAAATTCATTGCATTCAATCAGCTGGGTCAATTGGTGTCAATCGGAAGAAATGTATATAAACATGGGAAGTGTTCTGCCTTTTTGGGATACTTACATTTACGATTCGCATGGTTTACGTTGAAAAGTCGCAGTTCTTGAGTATGTCATTTGCCCACAGCCACGGACAGTGTCTGGCATTTTCCCCAATGCAATCCGTTCCACCAGCCAAAACATCAAAAGCCTCAACGAAAAATCTGCAAAATTTCAAGCCAGTCTCCTAACTCCTCCAGGCTGGGTGGTCCTCGTTTCAGCACCACCCAAGGCCACAGCTCTACTGCAATCTTATAGATCTGTTCACGCACCCGCAACACCGATTTGCCAATCTCCGTAGTGCGGTCCCAGTAACCTCGCACCCCCCAACTTCATGGAAATAAGAGTCAAATAAATCCTTTGATGCGGCAGCAAAACCCTGATTTTTATGAGAAACCTCGATAGCTCATGCTTAAATCATGTTAAAGCCCTGTTTTTTTGGTGGAAAATCAAGAAAACACAGACATAAAGACAACATGTCTCAAAAATTTCACTGGATATTCATTCACCAAACTTCACTGAAATCAACAAAAAACATCCAGAAATCTCCGAGAAAAAACAAGGCAACCGGTTGGCTCGCCGCCCTTGTAAGGGTGACGAAATTGAAATTATGATTTTTGAGGTTAAGGGACAAGGTGCTGGTATTTGTGGGACTTGTCAAAATATGTTTGCAATATGGACATTCATTTCGATTGGCAGGGGTGTGACTCAAGTGTAAAAATGTGGGTTTCGGCTGCGCAGTGAATCGATTCTGCTCTTCAAGGGCTTCCAAAAAACATTAGAAATTCATGATTTTCAATCATCTCAGGAAAACATCCACCCATCCAGTTTTTTCTCTTCTCGAAGTTTCAGTGCCAGAGTGCTTTTGGCAAGGCAGCGGCCACAGACTGCAACAAGGCGACATTATAACTATTTCAACGCCATGTCCAGCTGTAAGCCCAAGCGTCCCTTTTTTTGTGCACTTTCTGGTTTTTCTTGTGGAGCCTGGACATTGGTCTCCATTTTAACAACGGCAACATGTTCCGTAACGTAAATGTAACGTAAATGCACTACTCGTCAGGAACGTTAATACCCCCACCACCTGCCCACACTCCCCTGATGACCATACGACAGCATGTGCAACATGTTAACAACGCCGAAAATCAAATCCTGTACCCCCATTTTGGAAACCTTGACCCTTAATACTTGCAACCGTTCCAAGGGATCGGTTGCATGGCACATCTCAAAATGAATACCCTCTGGTAAATTAACATAGCTATGGAAAATCACCATGTTTAATGGGAAAACTCACTATTTCTATGGCCATTTTCAATAGCTTTTTGTAAGTCATAACCAGAGGGTAACCCTTCCAAGGGCGGCGTAAAACGCCATGCCGAGCAACTGCAGTTCCCCGTCCAAGCGATTTCGCCGGGATAGAGCATGGCTGCTGAGATCATCGCCTGGACTACCAGATCGTAAGTCAAGCCCGGCTTGCCCTTCATGTGATCACGTGGACAATCGCTGGAATCCCACCATGGACCATAGTAGCCTTAGCTGGTTGTGTTTTTTTTGTCAGTAGGAAACCATCGTTTTTGTCACTTGACAGTGTGTCAAAACCTTGTACCCCTGGTGAACATCAAAATAGCTGGGATTTATGGATGTTCATCCCCTAATAAACTGTATCTATAGGTATTGATCCATAGCCACTTCAATAGTATTTGTTTTTGTCTATTAGCGATGTTTTGTGGATACTCAATACGAACATCAGATCCAGACCCAATTTTTAGTATTCCATGCTCAATGCGATGGGAACCATGTACAATCTGGTAATCATAACTAACATAACTATGGAAAATCACCATTTTTCATGTGAAATGTCCCATGAAAAATGGTGGATCTTTCCATAGTTATGTAACAAATTACCAGGCCGGGTATTCAACAAATTGGCGAAACTTGCTATCGGTACAATGAATTCTTGCTGATACACATTGGAGAAGCCATTGATTTTGATTTCCCAAAAATTCCATCTGGGGGCTCTGAGAATGGAGAATCCCCAGTCGTCACCATGGGTGTCAATACAAAAATTGGATAAAATTGGTTACTTTGGATGATTTGCCTCCCTTAAAAAAAAAATCCAACAAACTCCATCAAAAGCTTCGCCTCTGGCGCATGAAATCACGAGAATGCTTGGTAAAGCAATGGTAAATCACCCATATTTGAATACTGTGGTTATTGCACCATCCCCCATAAATAAATACAAACAATCCCCCAGTAAAAACGATGCCATTTGCACCATCCCCCAGTCATCAGCATTTTTTATAGGTGGCATGTTTACTTACCATTCCCAGTCATGGGTGGTTTCTTGTTCCTACATGCACATGTACCTAGGTCTTCACCAGGCAACAAATGTTCTGCGGTCGTTTTTGCACGCAGGTGCTGGGCAACACATTGAAGTTGGGGGCCGTGCAAACGAGGTCCGGCGCGCACGCAAGTGGACGTTCCATGGGAAAACCTTTGTCATCCAACCTAGAGAAACCATGGAAGTTTGCGGAACAGGTGGGAAATGCTGAGTAGGGTGTTTAAGTATATCTATATCGATTTGCATTTATATATATATGTATACATGTGTATGCATCTATATATGTATGTACATCATCATGATCATGATCATCATCATCCTCCTCCTCCTCGTCGTCATCGTCGTCATCCTCATCGTCATCGTCGTCATCACCATCCAAATTCCCACAACTTTCTGCATCCGGTATCCCATCCGGTTTTGAACAAAGCCATTTGCTGAGTCAATGCTTCTTGATTTTCCAATCTGCTCTTCGAAAAATGCTATCAATCCATATGGTCACGGTGGTATTCGGAAACTGGCGAGTGGTATTCGGAAACTGGTATTCGGAAACTGGTATTCGGAAACTGGTATTCGGAAACTGGACAGTGGTATTCGGAAACTGGACAGTGGTATTCGGAAACTGGACAGTGGTATTCGGAAACTGGACAGTGGTATTCGGAAACTGGACAGTGGTATTCGGAAACTGGGAAGTGGTATTCGGAAACTGGTATTCGGAAACTGGAAGTGGTATTCGGAAACTGGAAAGTGGTATTCGGAAACTGGGAGTCGTATTCGGAAACTGGAAAAAGGTATTCGGAAACTGAGATTGGTATTTGGAAACTGATATAATTGGAAACTGGAAACCCGTAGTAACAAGTAACGTAGCAAGGATCCCAGAGATCTCAGCAGCGTAGTAACAAGTAACGTAGTAAGGTCCCAGAGATGCCAGCAGCGTAGTAACATGTAACGTAGTTTTAGATCCCACAGATCGTTGCAGCGTAGCACACTATAATGTACGAAGTACAAGGAACGTTGACATGCCCCCCCTACCCCACCCCACCCCACCCCATCAGCAGCGTAGTAACAAGTAACGTAGCAACGATCCCAGAGATCTCAGCAGTGTAGCACACTATAACGTACGAAGTTCAAGGAACGTTGACATGCCCCCCCCTACCCCACCCTACCCCATCAGCAGCGTAGTAACAAGTAACGTAGCAACGAGCCCAGAGATCCCAGCAGCGTAGTAACAAGCAACGTAGCAACGATCCCGGAGATCTCAGCAGCGTAGTAACATGTAGCGTATATGATTCAATTAGGGCGGTACCACGTAAGTGTATCGGATGATCACTCTTTGGGCAGGGTCTACCCCTAACGCATTATATAGGCCAGAGGAGGTGGCAGTTTTGATCCCTCATAAAGTTAAGTTCAAGTCAAGACCCTATTCATCGTATTGGCCAGAGGGGATGGCGGTTTTGATCCCTCATCAAGATAGGTTCAAGGTAAGATCCTATTCAATCAGTTTCGTTAAGATCCTATTCAATGTATGGGCCAGAGGGGGTGGCAGTTTTGATCCCTCATGAAGATAAGTTCAAGTGAAGATTTTATGCATCGTATTGGACAGAGGGGGTGGCAGTTTTGATCCCTCAGGAAGTTAAGTTCAAGTTCAGATCCTGTTCATAGTATTAGCCAGAGGGGGTGGCAGTTTTGATCCCTCCTGGAGCAAAGTTGAAGTTAAGATCCTATTCAATGTATGGGCCAGAGGGGGGTGGCAGTTTTGATCCCTCATGAAGATAAGTTCAAGTTAAGATCCTATGCACCGTATTGGCCAGAAGGGTGGCAGTTTTGATTCATCATGAAGATAAGTTCAAGGTAAGATCCTATTCAATGTATTGGCCTGAGGGGGTGGCAGTTTTGATCCCTCATGAAGATAATTTCAAGTTAAGATATGTTAAGATCCTATGCACCGTATTGGCCAGTTTTGAATCCCCATGAAGATAATTTCAAGGTAAGATCCTATTCAATGTATTGGCCAGAGGGGTGGCAGTTTTGATCCCTCCTGGAGAAAAGTTGAAGTTAAGATCCTATTCAATGTATGGGCCAGAGGGGGTGGCAGTTTTGATCCCTCCTGGAGAAAAGTTGAGGTTAAGATCCTATTCAATGTATTGGCCAGAGGGGATGGCGGTTTTGTCCCGCATGAAGATAAGGAACAAAAGTTAAGATCCTATTTATCGTATTGGCCAAAGGGGGGGTAGTTTTGATCCCTCATGAAGATAGGTTCAAGGTAAGATCTTATTCAATAAGTTTCGTTAAGATCCTATTCAATGTATGGGCCAGAGGGGGGTGGCAGTTTTGATCCCTCATGAAGATAAGTTCAAGTTAAGATCCTATGCACCGTATTGGCCAGAGGGGGTGGCAGTTTTGATTCATCATGAAGATAATTTCAAGGTAAGATCCTATTCAATGTATTGGCCAGAGGGGGTGGCAGTTTTGATCCCTCCTGGAGAAAAGTTGAAGTTAAGATCCTATTCAATGTATGGGCCAGAGGGGGTGGCAGTTTTGATCCCTCCTGGAGAAAAGTTGAGGTTAAGATCCTATTCAATGTATTGGCCAGAGGGGATGGCGGTGTTGTCCCTCATGAAGATAAGTGCAAGTTAAGATCCTATTTATCGTATTGGCCAGAGGAGGTGGCAGTTTTGATCCCTCATGAAGATAGGTTCAAGGTAAGATCCTATTCACTAAGTTTCGTTAAGATCCTATTCAATGTATTGGCCAGAGGGGGGTGGCAGTTTTGATGCCTCATGAAGATAAGTTCAAGTTAAGATCCTATGCACCGTATTGGCCAGAGGGGGTGGCAGTTTTGATTCATCATGAAGATAATTTCAAGGTAAGATCCTATTCAATGTATTGGCCAGAGGGGGTGGCAGTTTTGATCTCTCCTGGAGAAAAGTTGAAGTTAAGATCCTATTCAATGTATGGGCCAGAGGGGGTGGCAGTTTTGATCCCTCCTGGAGAAAAGTTGAGGTTAAGATCCAATTCAATGTATTGGCCAGAGGGGATGGCGGCTTTGTCCCTCGTGAAGATAAGTTCAAGTTAAAATCCTATTTATCGTATTGGCCAGAGGGGGTGGCAGTTTTGATCTCTCCTGGGGAAAAGTTGAAGTTAAGATCCTATTCAATGTATGGGCCAGAGAGGGTGGCAGTTTTGATCCCTCATGAAGATAGGTTCAAGTTAAGATCCTATTCGCTAAGTTTCGTTAAGATCCTATTCAATGTATTGGCCAGAGAGGGTGGCAGTTTTGATCCCTCATGAAGATAAGTTCAAGTTAAGATCCTTTGCATCGTATTGGCCAGAGGGGGTGGCGGTTTTGAATAGTTGCTGGGATACCACAATCATTGCTGGGAGAAACCATAGAGTCAGCATTGAATCCGACGAAAATAGTTTCTGAATACTGCAAAAATAGTTTCTGAATACCACGAGTAGTTTCTGAATCCGACGAAATAGTTTCTGAATACTACGAAAATAGTTTCTGAATACCACGAGCAGTTTCTGAATCCGACGACAATAGTTTCTGAATACTACGAATAGTTTCTGAATACCACGAGTAGTTTCTGAATACCACGAAATAGTTTCTGAATACCACGAAATAGTTTCTGAATACTACGAATAGTTTCTGAATACCACGAAATAGTTTCTGAATACCACGAAATAGTTTCTGAATACCACGAGTAGTTTCTGAATCCGACGAAATAGTTTCTGAATCCCACGAAATAGTTTCTGAATACCACGTTTATTTTCTGAATCCGACGAGCAGTTTCTGAATCCCTAGTTTCTGAATCCGGCGTAGTTTCTGAATCCGTCTTTGTCCAATCCATATCAATCCCACCGTTCTTCCCCAAGGAACTTGTATCGTGGCCCCAAAGCCCCTGTAAAGGCCGGCGCTAAGTCTTGCTGTTGGAAACAGCTCTGCTGCTCCTGACGATAAGGCAAGCACTGCCCCCTGATGGGACGCCAAGCATTGTCGAAGGTCTGCGCACTGCCTGCGGTGACAAAAAAAACGGTGACCCAAAAACCCCACCCCCTTGGAAAAACGCACGATTTTTCACGAGCACGGGAACTTCAGTCCGTTGGCAAAAACATGAAATGAAAAAAAAACAGAGATGGGAAAATAAACAGTTATGGCTAGAACATAATTTCCATCAACTTCCCAATTTATGGATACCCGAAATTCAAGGTGAGGGAACTGGATAGATAAAGAGTAAAAATGACCAATTTCCGCCCCAATAAAACCTATGATTTGCCCATCATGGGTTGAAGCAACCCTGGAATTTCTGCGTTTGAAAATTCGGTACCCCTAAATCCAGCATTTTGGGGGTATACACCATTCTCAAACACATTCAAAATCCTATCATTGGGTAGATCTCCCATTATCTCCCGATAAACTGATTGAACTGATAGGTTATTCATAAATTCCGAATTGTTCCTCGCAATTGTCCCATTCGTATTTTTCGATGTGTAAATCGATAACGCCGATAACACTCCCATTCCCCCCATTTCCCCTTTCTACCAGGATTCTACCACATACTTTTACTCTATTACCCTCTGGTTATGACTAACATAGCTATTGAACATGACCATAGAAATAGTGGAATTTCCCATTAATCATGGTGATTTTCCATAGCTATGTTAAATTACCAGAGGGTAACACTACTCTGCTGCATCCTCAATGTTGCTATATTTGAAATCTCCTAGGCCAATGCATGACATCTCTCCATAAAAAGGACAGGCAATGTCTCTATGTTAAATTACCAGGCCGGGTACTTGGTGGCTCATCCCACTTAGTAAGTGGGTTATAACCCCAGTTATAAGTGGATTAACCCTACAAAAATCCCATGTAAATCACTGGGGTTATAACCCACTTACGATTCGTGGGTAGTTTGCCACCAAGTAAACATGTCGCGTCATGGTAGGTCGACACATCACTGGAGAAACTGGCGACTGATGGTGGCTTTATCATGATCCCCAAGAACAGTTGAGCTCGTTTTTGGGTATAACTATATATATAATATATAGGTATATGATAGGTATATATGTAATATATAATAATATATATATAGTTTATATCTCAAAGAATCAGTTGCAATAACTGATAATATCATGGCTCAGAGAAATTCACAACAGCTAAAAATGGCGGCAACAAACTCCAATCCCAGCCGCTGGGACAGAGGATTTCTAAAGACTTGTTCAGCTCCTTGAGTTTCATCTGGTCATTCTTTTCCATGGCCTGCAGATGAACATAAAAAACCATGGAAGCGGAAACCATGGGTTTATGGGCATGTCATGAGGGATTCATATAGGATATCATATGAAAAAATGTGAAAAAATGATATATGTTTAAAAAAGGGATATGGAGGGATATATGGAGACATATCACCAACTGGGATAAAGTTCATCAAAGTTTATCAAAGTTCGACCAAGGGCCTGCGAGAGCCAGGTTATGACAGATTTCAAGGGACCAATTTTGGTCGCCAAGCTGTGTTCAAGATGGTGAATAGACAGAAAGTCTGGATGTGGTCGAAGAATGAACATGTATAAATCAAAAAAACAAATGAAGCACGGAATTCGTTACGTCGGGTGTGCAAGGCGCTGGTTTTCAAATGTGGCGATGTGAGTGCTTTGAAAGATCCAAGTTGAAGTTTCGGAAGATGAAGGGTGTGTGCAGAAATGGATGGCTTGGGCCCAAACGATATGGCCATCAATGGCCATCGTTAGAACATAAGGAATATGGTGGTAAACCATGGAAGTTTCGAGTTTTTCCGGGCATGTTCAAAAAAATTTATATAGGAGCAGTGATATTGGGTGGCTATGTGGGTGTTCCAGTAGGTATCATGTGCAATGATAGTGGTTTTAAATATGTTTAAATCAACAAATTGGATTTCACCAGTTCTATCATCATTTTGCCACTTCCGTGGCGATCCTGGTCTTCCCCTGACACCCTGGCCGCCTGGCCTTTGCGTATGCTTTCTCGTAGGCCGGGATATAATTTGAACCTTGGATGCCAGCACCAAAGAAGGAATAGTCAATGGCCATTTCAGGATCCAATTGATGGAGGTACCTACCGGGGGATATACCCTCAGAATATGGCCAAACATATGGTACGCTTACGTACCTCCATCGGATCCTGGAGATCTCCCGTTGAAATAGCCTCTGGTACTCAAACGTAACAAGCTGGTAAATCCCTGTGGCCCCATGGAGGTTTAGTTCCTGGGAAAATCAACTACAAAGGTGTGAACTCACCCACTTCTTAAGTGGGCTGCGCCACCAAGTACCGGGGGAGGGAACCACAGTATCTCAATTGATTGCTGATTAATAATCCGATTTGATTCTTGGCTCATAATACCAACCATCATGTAGCACAATTGATGTTACAATTCTGATTGATTCGTTTTTTTAATAGTCCTAAGAATCAAAACACAAAATCGCCTATCATAGACACGTTTGTTCATATTATATTTTCTGGTCTCAAACATGTTTCGTGATTATAATTCAGGAAACAATGAAAATTCTTATCAGTAATATTCCATGTCACAATAGCAAAATCATGTCAAAAGACACTTAGGTTTATCATTTTTCTCAATATTGTTCATGATGATCAATAGTGTAATCGCCCTGAATGTAAAATAAATCAAACAATTTTCAACACAGATTTATTTATTTATTTATACAAACATATATATATATATATAGTCATGTATCTATCTATTTGTTTATATATATATATATCAAAGCCATTTGAGGATGATTTTCCTAACCATGATTCCACTGAGCGGTGAGGTCAGGAAAATGTACCCAGATTGTTCATCTACCCTCTGGTTATGACTAACATAGCCATGGTGTAGATGGCCCATAGAAATAGATGGTGTACCGTTCTTAAACATGGTGAATTTCCATGGCGAACTGTTAAATAACCAGATGGTAAAATGGATGGTTGATTGATGTTTATGAAATAAGGAAAACCATCTGAAAATGGATGAGAACTGGATGAGTACTCGAGTACCCCCATGACTTCGGAAAGCTCCAGAGATGTTTAATAGGTAATGTCAACCCTGGATTAATAAACCCCTAGATTGTTTAATTGGGAGGGTACCATTTAAGTATCATATTATGACTATTGGAGGGGTACCCCCCTAATTGTCATAAACCATGGTTTAGTCTCATCCGGGGTTGATTTTCCATGGCCATGTTAGTCATAACCAGAGGGTATAGGTACAGGATGGGGCCCCCAAGATAGCTAAGTTGCCTTATAAGTGGCTTTATGGTAGATATAACTATAGTTAATAGGGGTTTTGTTATGGTTTATAAACCCACAAACATCCAAAGATCTAGGTTGGTGAACATAACTCCAATGTCACTATTGTTTATGGTACGCAAATAACTTATAACGAACTAGTTACTGGGGCTAACTTGTTAACCCCAGAGATGTTTAATAGGTATATCTGTTCAATAGATTGTTCATCTACCATCTGGTTATGACTAACAGTTCGCCATGGTTTTTCGATGGCCCTAATCGATTTATAGATGGTTAACCGTTCTTAAACATGGTGGATCTTTCCATGACCATGTTAGTCACAACCAGAGGCTATATGGGTATGGGTCAAAATTAGGTACCCCAAAATTATGGATGGTTAATGCTAAACTAGACATTCACATCTGTGGTCCCATGAATGGTCTTCCATTTTGACCCACATCCATATCTCTTCAATCAATCATCTTTTCAATAACTTATAACTTATAACTTATAACGAACTAGTTACTGGGGCTAACTTGTTAACCCCAGAGATGTTTAATAGCTATATCACGGTATATCTCTTCAATCAATCATCGCCCAAGTCACAATAGCCCACGTCAGGCGTATGCCCAAAAGTGCCATCCGGAAGTGGAGCCATCGCCCAGGCTCCCCACTTTTCATGTTGCATGATCCAGCACCACTCATCCTGAACGGAAAAGACATGGGGAATCCACAGATTTCGCTTGATTTAACCATGAAAAATGGGGATTTAACTATCAAAGATAGGGATTCGACGATCAAAAACAGGCATTTACCAACAAACATTGTGAATTCACCAACAAAATACGGCCTTAACCAACAAAAATACGGACCTAACTATCCAAAACAGGGAGTTTATCATGAACAATAGCTATTTTAAGAGATTTATAGGCAAACATATTAGTGAATTCAATATTGACTCAATTCTATAGCTGCTCATGTTCTTAACTAGGTCCACCGCTCACAGCGGACCGTGATACGAAATCACACTTTTCATATTCCAAGCGCATTGAATCTCAGCAATTACATTGGGCAAGAATCTTGCAACCATAGCAAGGGCTGAAACGCGTACAGTGCTTGAAATTTCTCTTGTGTAGTTCCTGGTCTAATTTCCTTCGAAAACGTCCACCTGCATTGCTCCCAACTGCGCAAGTACTAGTTTTTCTAGAACTTCACGAATTCTGCGAATGCGTAATATATTTATCTGGGATGAAACATGTCCGGTTTTTGGACCATAGGATTTGAAAGTTTTCGAACATTTCAGGGGGTCCAAAGCTGATTGTTTTCCTTCCGAGTGTGCCAAAGTCAGTTGGCTCTCAGCAATCTCTTTAATGATGCCAAATAGAACTCGTTTGGAGTTGCAGGTGCCAGAGACTGTCAGAAAACAAATTGAAAACCCAGTTCAGTTCAGATAACGCAGGGTCAGCCACTCTGTGCCCTTCCACCTTCACCCCGGACCCCCATCATGACATGACGCAACTTCCAAGACAACGTGCCGTAGTGTAGCATCATCTTCAAGACACAAGTGCCAGGAACGTCAACACACCCGCCCACCTCTGACCCCATAATGTCATGACGCAACTTCATCACCATTAAAGCAAGAAAAAACGCAGTTAAACCCACGGGCTGTTCCGGGCGGTGGGACTACTCAATAGCTGTTTAAAACATGTTTGTTTTGCAATGTACATTACATGTTATAGACGGATAAGATTTACTGATTCACTCACAATGGTTGGCTACAGGCAAAATTACTGATGAGTTTATGGCAGAGATATCTAGAGTTCATGGGTTCCTCTTAACCTCTTAACCTGGACAAATTTCAGCGTAATTGACTTGAAGTCTCGAAAGAAGTTATCCAAATCAATGAATTTAAGTGAGAAACAACACTGCCGAAACGGCGCCACTTAAGAAAGAACGAGTGATCCGTCAAAAACCATCATCTTTGAACTATTATGTTAATAATGATTAATCATTGAAAATATGTTAGCATATGTCACTGATGGTGGTTTATAATGGTTAATGATTCTTAATAACGGTGGTTGATAATGGCTCGATAGAAGTTCATGCATCAATATGATGTTTGATCAAAACGGTTCTATTTGTAACAATGACAGTAATGTGTATAATGATTGGAGAAACCAGGGAAAGCGTAAGCCGAAACCATAGTTCTACCAACGAATTCTGGAAATTTTGGGGATGCAACCGTCCACTTTTGGCTGTTTCTGGTGCAACCATGTCCTGAAGCGGGAAAAAAAAGAGGGGGCGATCTTGTATACCATTGATCATCACATATATATATATACATATACCTAGAATGAGTATGTTTTCAATAGATTGGATCAGATTGGCTTGTTTGGAAACTCAACAGAGCGGTTGCCGAAACCCCGATGATTTGTGTTCTATTCTGTCGCAAACCTTTCGCCATCTCTTTCTCAAACCTTTCGCGATGTGGCGTTTTTCTTTCGCGGCATGCATGTGTCTAAAATACACTTTCGCGGAAAATCCTGTTTCAGGCTTTACCATGGTTTGTACCCGCAACCTGCAAATCTTCCCCTTGGATTGTGATCATCCCCCAATACATCTTGGTTAGTATAACCCCCGAAGAAATCATCCACCAACCAGGGTTGGTAAACACTGCTCAATTGTGGATTTGATAATCCCAAATCATTCAGAATGGACACTCACAAATGTGGCTGTGTCTGAAAATGTGAAGGGAAACCCCCAAATTCTGTGGCTTCATCAATCTTTTCCCTTTCAAAAAGTAGCCACTTAAAGAAAAGGGTTCCAGGAAAGTCAACCGAAAAATTTTCAGACACAGAAAAATGTGGGTATGGGTCAATACCTATAGATACATTTTTAGTGGGATGAACATCCATTTATTTACCAGCTATGACTTGGGGTGAAACATAGCACGGTACCAGGGTTTTGACCCATCCCCATGTGGTTCTAAAACCAGGAGCCAGCATCTGCTTTGCAAATGCCAGGGGACATGTAGCAGTCAGGGATCACAGGGATTGGGCACATGACATCATCGCAGTTCCTCAGATTTGAAGCTACCAATCAGCTAGTTCTGTTGATTGTATAACGGTTATATGTATATTGAATCTGTATATATATACATAGTTATATATATATATTATATATAGTTATATATATTATATATATTGTATACCTGTTTTAAAAATCACAGTTTCCTGGATGATACATAGATGAAACATAGATGAAACAAGATGAAACATAGATGAACCATAGATGAACCATAGATGAACCATAGATGAACCATAATTTTAACAAATAAAAAATCGCTGAAAGCACCGATTTCTCAGCTTCATTTCGATGATCTCACCCTTGACTGCGCGCTTGATGTGTCCATCGTGCGCCAGATACATCATGTTGGCACTGGCAATGCTGCATGCATCGGGTCCAGCGAAATACATCTTCTGGCCAGGAATTTTGGGGGGACAGTTGGAATTGCCCAGGCCCTTCTGGCCCTTCTGGCCCTTCTTCCGGTAATGGTCCTGACAGGCCCAAAGAATCGAGATTTCGTGACGTGTGATGTGAATTATCAATGGTCATTTCAGGAAGCGATAAAAAATGGAGGTACCTACAAAATATAGCCGTAGATGGTACTGTACCTCCATCTTTGGATCCTGAAATTCTTTTTGGATTCCGACTTTCTCAAATCTGATTCGTCGCGATTTCGGACTAGTGGATACCTTTGGGAAAATGCCACCCGAATTCACCAACAAACCGCAAATCTAAGCAAATGAGGTAAGTTGAGATTTGCTGGGAGGACGGATCAAAACAAAAAAACACCCGGGAAAACTGGTTGGGCTTGCTTGAAATTGGGGTCTCCCAAATCTATTGGTTGATTGTGGTTTATGATCATACTCCCCATACATGGCTATTTTGGGGCTGCGCTGTACCCAATTTTCAGACATACCCTCTCGTTGTTTCACGTAGCTATGGAAAATCGCAATGTTTATGGGTAAATCATCACAAATCATCTTTCAATGGGCCGTCTATACCGTTGTGAAAAAATCAAAGGCTACCTTCAAAAAGGATGATTGTGAATAGTATTTCATAATTATATATAATCATATGTATACTATTCTATATTGTAGTATATATTCTATATTCTATTATATATACATATCATCATATATTGTATTATATATTATATTATAAAATTATGTATATAATGTCATATCTCCCATAAAAAAATCACCAAAGTAGCTCCCAAAGAAGGAAAAAACCCTTCTCTTTAACCGGTTCCTTCAGGAGACTCCTGACTGCCGCCGTTTCTTGGTGTCCGTACTCACCTCCGTGGATGGCGCCGCGTTCACCAACGTTTATATCATGGGAAATCCTTGGGAAACCAATGGGAATAGCCTCTGGTTATGTCAAAATAGCTACAATGTGAGGCCCCCCGGTGATGTTTGTTGGTGAACAAAAGCCCCAGTAACTATATAGTTATTTGCGTACCATAAACCATAGTGACATTGGAGTTATGTTCACCAACTTAGATATCTTGGGCGCCTCACATTGTATTGAAATTGTCATTTATAGTGATTTTTCCACTTAAAAATGGTGATTTTCCTTCGTTTTTTGTATGTTTACCTGAGGGTACTATGCAAACGTAGGGATATCACCAAGGGAAACCCATGGAAAATATGAGCCCAAATTGGGATGTTGTGGATTTACACCCAGATTCACCCAGGGGAATCCGGGCAATTCACGACGCGCCTGGGCTCCCAGATCGAGCCAATGCTTGTTGACGACTCGCCACCTGGATCAAACAGGACTCCTCACCCAGCACGAGGTTCACCAGTCGCACCAGGAACCACGGCAGCAGGCTGGAAACCATGGCACAAGTCTGGGATGTCTGGGAGTCCGAGGGGCGCGGACGGACTTTGGCCGCGACAAAAGGCTGGTTTTCTTCCAAAATGGCTGCGACAAAAACGCCATGTTTTCCATGTTTTGGGCCCTGTTTTTGGTGAAGTTCCTGGTTTTGATGGCTTTTTTCCGTTCATTCACAATAGTATTGGATCGACGAAATAGGAAAGCCGTAAGGCTGCCAAACTTCCAAACTCTAGCAACAGCTCATTGAAACCTGTAAGTCTTCCCAACTCCAGAAATGTAGAAAAAATGGAAAGATCTCAGAAATGTGCAAATTCGGCTGGCAGAAACCTGCCTCAGTGCTGCAAGGGTAGAGCGACTTCCCCGCCAGCCTGGGCCATTGCCAGTCTTTCAAAAGAAATTGATTCTGAGAATTCGCGGATTTTCATCCTGGCAGATGCGCTGTTTTTTTTTTCTGTTTTTTTGGTTGATTTCACTACAAATTGAGAGTTACCACATGGGAGGTTTGACCCATCTGAAGAGCTTTGATCGCGAACAACTGTTCGAAGACCAGCCGAAGGATTATCTGTTTCGATGCCAACCAATCAACCAATGATTTGAAATGTGCCAAGCGGAAAAGATGAAGGTCCTGGTAGCTTCGTCTGGTTTCCCATCAAAACATGGCCAGTCTTGCATGCACCGAAAATATACTATTTTCACCTGTCCAGGCTAACGTATCCCCAACAAAACGGCGTTTATTTTCTCAACTACTCAACTAGGCTACAAAGATCCAAACTGCAGTTAGCTCCCCACCCAGATTTTTTGTCACCCGAAAGAAACGCGCAGCCGTCCATAACTTGCGGAACATCTGCCATCTCACAAGATGCAGCTGATCCAAAGCCTTGCAGGTTGGCGAAGAATGTGTGGGTGATATCTTTGGAAGATCATTGGAGGATATCACCCACAAATTTCTGGGGAAAAAATTGAATATTATTGAGAAATTCCTGGGATGTAACAAAAAAATATGTTTTTCGGGGAATAATTTGTTGGAAAAAATTGGAAGACAGTAGTGTTTTCTCAATTCAGTCGCTGGCACGGTCTTGTAGGGCTGTAACTTTGGGGAAACATCCCCCTTGTAGTCTGGAAGTGGGAAGGTCATACCAAAAGAAAGATGGGAGATTTGTTGTTCTTTTCTCATTTGGTGCGTACCAGTATGTATGCGTATGTGATATTACACCCCAATAATCCGAAAATGTCTCTTGGTGTCATATATCGCTTCGGAAACATCCATCAAGCACCCAGGACGGTGCATAGAAAGGGAAACGAACCCTTTTAGGGGACACAGCCAACCATCCCTGTGGTGGTTAAAACACCAATTTTGGTCTAATCCACCGGCTTGATCATTTTTAAAATCACCTGATTCCACCATTTTCTTCAGGAGTATAATAAATATGTATTTACTTATTTATTTGTTGATTCAAATATATATATATATATTATGTATGTATGTATATTATATATATATAAATATTATATATATATATATTATGTATATATAAATATAATATATTATATGTATATAATATCCAGTATAATATAAATTCCCATGTTCAAACACACCGCACATGTTGCCTCATCACTGGACATCTTCCCCACCGCCAAGAGGCAACTACGTCTTCCCAGTCGCTTCGCTAGTCGCTTCGCAAAGTCACAGCAGCGCATCCACTGACCCTTGCACACCTTCATGGTGCTGTTGATAGCCACCTCACGTGGTTTTCCAAAAGTTTCAACCCGATGATGGGAGGTTGTTGTCCCGTTGAAAATGATGGGGTTCACATGGGTTCACCATGGAAAAAAACTCTGGGTTTCCGATTTTTATAGGTAATCGGCTCTTGACCATTGGAAGAATTTCCGACATCTTGGAAGAATGTAGCCTCCACCATTGCGTGGAGATCCCCCAACGAAAGGGGCACAAGTGGGAAAATAATGTGTCAAAAATCATCGAACCAACTCATTCGAAATGGGAGATTCTCCATTGAAATCCATGACACTAGATCACTGGCCATCGATATGGAACCGAGAAAAAGGACGGAGGTACCGATTCCATAAGGCCTAAAAATATATCAGGCCTAAATTTCAGGGAATATCCCCAGAATTCATATGGCCATGGTCAATACTCACTATATGGTTGATGGTCATCTCATCCATAATAAGGATCCTTATAATGGTTATTATAAATCCCTATGAACCATTGGATGACTAGCCCCGTTTTTAATGGTTATTAACCATGAGTATTGACCATAGCTCATATGGCCAAACATGTTTTGTACGTTTACGTAGCTCCATAAAAAGTCCGGATCCTGAAGATCTCCCATCAAGATCATCTGACCGAATCTCGAAATCTGCCCCAGAAAACTCCCCACTGACTCAGATAGGGAAGGCCTATGACTAAGTTTGTAAATGGATAAAGAACTTTTCGGGTATGGTGGATGAACAACTAACTATCATATCATGAAGAAAACTCTATGTAATTGGAAAAATGCTTCAAGTGGAACCATAACTAACTATAACTATAGACTATTATACCTAACAGCATAACCTCCACATTCTGAAGCAGAAACCGCAGAAACCGCTCCTGAACTGTGAATCCAAGGCGCCTCATCCACTTCCAGCGTTTTCCAGGGCATCTGCTCCACCTGAGCCAAGGCCCTGAGCCAGTCGTCTTGCAAACTGAGCCTGCAGCTGACGCTGACGCGGATGGTTGATGATCAACTCACATAGCTATGCTATGGCCAGAAATTCATGATCAAAATCCATGGATTTACCATGATTTAGCTTTCAAAAATGATGGTTTATATGATGATCTATGATTTATGACACTTAAAATTGCTGATTTTCCAGTTTCAACTGGGAAATTACCCAAAAGGCTCTCCCCCATCGTTGCCGCAGCGGCAGGATGTTGTGGCTGTCTCCAACCGGCTCCAGACCAACGAGCTGCATCTTCCGAAGCAAAACCACGGCATCGCGCCAGGGACGGATGGCCATCAGCAAATGGTAAGACACCAGATCCGGCAGCACCTGGAGACACCGACATGGTTTTTAGGCAGTGCTGGGTCTCAGAGTTTCTCAGAGGGACATGAAGCCAAGTTTCATGGGTGAAATAAAAAGATGAATAGCCTCTGGTAAACTGTTACATTGCGAACTGGAAAGATCCACCATTTTTCATGGGAAAATCCACTATTTCTATGGTCATTTTCAATAGCAAACTGTTAAGTTACCAGGCCGGGTAGTTCGACATGTCCAGCGAATCAGCGAATCAGCGAATTAGAAGGGCAAAGATATGCAAAGATACTGTCTGAGCTGTGAAGAAAGCGAGATCACAGATACATTTGGCTATGAGTGAACTCATTTCACAGCCCAAAATTACAACTAGACCAATATCCAGAGTCACGAAACTCTATGGCTCTCTGCAGTGAAGCCTCCTCTGAAAATGGGTGGAGTACGGCTACTGAAGTCTGAAACTGAGATCCAAACTCTGAATTCCACCTGTTCCATCAAGGAAGTAGCAACCCTCCAGGAACTGGTCTTGCTGCTGGCGCTGAGAATGGCGTCAAAGCTTCCTGATCTTTGGCTTGTCTTTGAAGTCAAAAAAAGATCCCCAATCATCGATTGCCCATGTCTCTAGTGGATTTACCACTGGGAAATATTGTTGGGTCTCCTGGTTACCACTGGGAATGTGCATGATTTACTGCTAGATTTACCATGACCAGTAGATTTTCCATCAAAATCACCCAGTTTCGTCCATCCATAGCTTTTGCGGCACAGTCTTGGACGGCCAGACCCCATTCCCACGCCAGACTTTTCTCGCAAACGCCCAAGACGGAATTCCAGGTGATCTCGGAGGGCAATAACCTTGTGAGGCCGTGGCCATCAAAAGTTCTGGTAGATGGCCATCTCCAATCCCTTCTAGTATATTCCAATAGTCTAGTATACTTCAATGGTGATTCAATGGGATTTTTCATGGGATATATGATTTAATGGGAATATAATTGATATAATGGTCAATGGGAGATCTTCAGGATCCGTAATTTATGGAGGTATTGTACCATATGTTTGGCCATATTTTGTGGGGATGTTCACTAAAACACGGCCTGAAAAATAGGCCTTTTTTCTATGGTAGGTACCTCCGTCCTCAATCGGTTCCTGACATGGCCATTGACCAACCCCCCTTCATATGAAACACCCCATAAACAAAACCATGTTTTTTTGTTGAATTTCCGCATCATTGGGACCATGCTTTTTTGGGGTGTTTGATATTAGGGTGATGGGATTCATTTATGAGGGGATTTAACTGATTTAACCATCGAAAGTATTGAGATTCACCATGAAAAATGATTCATGGGGGTATACCCTCCTGGTAATGACTAACAGTTTGCGAACTGGAAAATGGCCATTTAGAGCGATGACTTTCCGAACTTAAAATTGGTGATGTTCAATAGCTATATTAAATTACCGGAGTTAAAAGCGGGTATAAGGGGGCCATCAAAAAAATTTCGTCATCCTGGAGTAGAATGGAAATTGCATATTCTATCCTATGCACATTCTATCTACTTCAGAATGATTGTAGACAAAAATCGCAGAATCGACCAACAGCCGGGAAACCTCCCATCTGTCATCCTTTCCAAGACATGAAAGGCAACTTCCCAGCCAAACATGGCAGGATCGGCCATTGTGATCGCAGCATTGAAGCTGGATGGGTAGAGAAATTGCTTGGAATACATCGATCTCTCAAACAAATTTGCCGCCACACACCACTGGTTGCATTCAACGCAAGCCCGCAGCAAGCTACTGAAGCTTACAGGGAAGCGAAGATCAGCCCCTGTCTGCCACCACGAAAAGAGTTGCTGCATGGAAATCTGCCAGAAATCCTGGCTTTCCATCTCATCTTGGCCACTCATCACCGCATTCAGCGTATCTTCATCCGCCCGCAGGGAGGATCTACCCATGGCTTCCACCAAACGAAGGCTTCGTTGCCACAACCCCAGCTGCCCGTCAGCCGACACTTGCGAGTTCCTAGGCCCAGGGACCCAGTTCCGATGGCCGTTGTTAGGAACACATCGGCAACTCACCGCAAATCTTAGAGATTCACCCCAACAAAATCACCATATCTCCTCTTGTTGGCTAAAAAATCATCCCAAAGTTATACCATTCTTGTCCCATGACTTTTCCATGATCATTCTCCCATGATCTTCCCAGCATGATTTTCCATTATTTTCCAAAGATTCTTTCCACAAAAATCTCCCATCCAAAATTTCCCTCTCTTTTGGCAAATTCCAAGTTTCACGGTCTTCACGTTGCAGGCGACCCGATGGAAGTTCATTTCCACCAGCAGCGCCCCAGCGCTGTGCCACGTTGGCGTAGCACAGGAAGAGATGATGGAGGTGAAGGTGTAGGAGTCGAAGATCTTTCGCCACTTCAAAACGTCAAAGAGAAGGAGACCCTTTTCCTTGGAAAATGTGTGGGTTGATTGTGGTTTTTCTTTGGGAAAAAAACCTGGGAAATGCGGGTGTCTCATCCTTTTTTTTCCTGATAATGGATTGATACAAGAGACAATCCAGTAAAAAGATCATGTCTTTTTGGTTTTGTTGAATGATTGCGATTCTTCCCAAAAAGTTGGTCGATTTGGGGAAGAATCCGCAGCAATTTACGGGCCTTGAGGATTTTTCCTATTGGGGTGATCTCAACGAAAAGTCAGAGGAAATCATGTTTCTGAGTAAATCAACATATGTCACTAACCTGAAACTTGCGGCTATTGGGGGATGATTCCCCCTATACATTCACCATGATTCCAGTGCTCGGTCGCAGTGGGGTCATTATAATTTACCCAGATGTTTTGTTCTGATGATCCATGGATTGATTGGAAATCATTTTCTGTTTACCATGAACTGTCGTGGGAGGGTTAGATCTTCCGTAGCAATCCATTTGTCGAACACCCCTGACAAACATATTTCTGTAAAGGGACACAATATCAACGCAAAAAGATTGTCGCATGTTGCTTTCCATCGAAAAAGTAGCACAAAAGGTACCTTGGGGGTGCAGTTCCAGTTATATATCGGATCTAGAACCATAGTTGCCATAGTTCATAGTAGTTATATCCCCAACTTATGGCAGTGACTGCCATAGCTATCAAAACCTATCCCCATGTTTCAACCCCTACCCCAACCGCATCTCCGACGAGCTTCCCATTGTTTGCCCTTGTCCATGGCACTTACAGCTGCATTGCTGGTCACCAGATCAACCTGGATGGACCTCCATGTGATGCTTCCCAAAATCTCTTGGGCTGCCTTCCAAAATCCCCTGCCTGATCTTCGCTGCGGGTCCAAAAAAAACATGCCAAAAAAGAACAAACTCCATCCTGACACTTGAGCTGATCTGGTTTTAATACAAAAACAAGTGTAATAATGGAGATTCCCCGGTTCTAGTGGCTATTTGCCATGTGGACAAAATGCCAAACTACGGAACTCACCTGGGAACTTTGAAAAAAATGGCAACTCCAAGCTACAGGCCGAGATCAATGCGGAAGCACCCCTGCTGTCCGTCTTTGGATATCTTAAGGCCTCCTGGATGTCGTGTCGATGGATCCACCCAGTCATGGTATGCCATGGTTGATTTCAGGAAAATGATCCACCCAGTCACTGGTGCTTCCAGTGAAAATGTGATGTTCTTGAGCAGATCTTTCCCGATAAATTGAGTTCTTCACCATGTTCTTAACCACAAGCTTTAGGATTTAAGATCATTTAGGGTAATGAGTGGGGTTTTTCCCTTGGTTTCTAACCAAACCAAGCCCACCTGCCATTGGTTCCCGTTGCCACAGCAGCTCACCAACGCGTTGCAACAGATGTCGTCCAGCTGTATCCCTTCCAGCCGCATCCAGTCAGCCACCTCCAATGACGTCTGCCACGCTCCTTGACCGCGTCCGCACCGCGTCAAGCAACGCGTGCCGTGCACCACGCTGGGCTGCACGCGGCTGTGCCGCAAGTCATGCAGAAAGCTGAGCCACTGCTGGCCGTTGGCAGACATGGAGATGTCAGTTGGATTCGCCAAAGTGGATTTTGATGGGAAAATCTAGGAATTTCATGGCCTGTCCTGTCAAAAATCATCTCCAGCAATGGTAATTCATCGTTTTGCTGGAAAATCTCCGGTCAAGTATGACTCAATGACGCCAAGCCATCCAATGTTGCAAGCCGCGCCAATACGGCGCGGTCTACCGGCCATGAACGCCGGGAATTCTGAGGAGTCGTTCCAGCGAACGCCTTAAAAACTGCGGATGTTCATCTGCGTCGTCTGTATGCTTTGGGGTTGGTTGATGTTATCTATGGTTAGTGGCAGTTAATGGTTGATGATTATCTATGGTTAATGGTTAGAAAGTATCTATCTGGTTGGTGGTTGACCTACCCCTCTGAAAAATGATGGAGTGAAAGTCAGTTGGGATGATTATTCCCAACATATGGAAAAATAAGAAATATTCCAAACCACCAACCAGTAATGTATATTATATATGTAAATAAATATCTCTGTCTCTGATAACACCCAAGTTGTTACAATGGCACGCATGTTTCTGAAAATGGACAATTGTCCAAGTCCACTTTTGATAGGAAAATGATGGACTGGACCAAATCTAATTTGAGGGACAAAACATGTGACCATGCTGTTTTACCACCTTCATAAGTTGGGATAGTTTACCCGGCCTGGTAATGACTAACATAGCTATTGAAAATGGCATATAGAAATAGTTGATTTACCATGATTTACCTATTCAAAATGGAGATTTTCTAGTTCGCTATGTTAGTTTGCCAGCGGGTACCCCTGTCTGCCAAAAAGAAATCCAGCAGCCGAATCAAGGCCGCCACTTGAGACACTTCCCCCTTGCAGTCACCATCCCCTAGCGTCCGCGACGTCGTTGCTGGGAAACCCAACGCTTCGCGGAAGTCCACGGTCAGCAGAGTGTCTTCCTCCGTCAGAAGGTCCCACGCCTGGTGGCGAATCGTTGGAGGACTATGGATGTAAGTCTCTGGTAAACGTTTACATAGCGAACTAGACTATGGAAAGATCCGCCCATTTTGAACAGATAAATCAAAGAACTTTCTATGTGCCATTTTCTATAGCTATTTTGACATAACCAGAGGGTAACTTGATTTAGCCAAAAGCATCGAAGTAGGGCGGATCCAACTATAGCATCCATAGCTATGTAAACTTAGACGCTGCAGAAAAAAATATCTTCCATTCGAGCCGGGCTCACCAGATCAACGTGGTCACAGTTGGGTCGTTAGTCACTGGGGAGAGAATGGGAGGCCACAGTCAGATCCCAGTTGTCAATAACCAGGCAGGATAATAGCTGGTTGATATTTTGCTATGGAAAATCACCATGTTTAATGGGAAAACTCACTATTTCTATGGTCATTTTCAATAGCAACCTGTTAGTTTACCAGAGGGTAGGATAGTATAACTGGTTGGTGGTGCAATGTGCCCATCTTGAAAAATGATGGAGTGAAAGTCAATGGGAATGGGATGACATCCCATATATGACATGGAAAATAAAAATAATGTTTGAAACCACCAATCAGATAGTGTTGATACACCAGTGACCACTTCAAGATCACTTAACTAACTATTGACATTGTGCGATTCCTGGCCTCTCAGCAAGGTATGAGAATTCATTGGACTCTCCGGTGACCAGTACATGTTGGTGTTCAGAATTTGCCAATGAAAGCTCCGAAAACAAAAAGGTGTCTCTTTGATATCACCAGTTGAAAGTTCCATCTTTGATCCTGAAGATATATATTGTTTCTGGTTGGTGGTTGACCTACCCCTCTGAAAAATATTAGTCAATTTCCGAAAAATTTTCCAGATGTTCCAAACCACGAACCAGATATTGTTTTCATGGTGAAATCCAAGTCTCAGCCTTACCCTCTGGTAAACATACAAAGATAGCTATTGAAGCCATGGCCCAGTCGAAATAGTGGATTATGGATTTTCCCATTAAAGATGGTGACTTTCCATAGTTGTTTGCATATTTACCGGAGGAAAAACTTCTTTCGGCTTGTCTCCTTTGTGGCACCTCGCCACGGCGCAAGCGATTCAGATTCCGAGACCTGACGGAGGGAATCCTCTCAGATGGGGATGGCTTGGTGCATAAACCTGGTGAATTTTAGGGCTTATTGTGGTTAAGTTGATGTTATAACCCTAGTGGATTGTTAGTGGATGATCACCCTACTTATCCCAAATTTTAGTGGATTGTTAGTGGATGATCACCCTACTTATCCCACTGAAAAAACTAGATATGGATATATGATATATGATATAACCTACTTACGATCCGTGGGATGATCCACCAAGTAGTTTTATATGGATGATAAACCAAGTTCTAAAATACTTGGCGTCTCATCCAATGGTAAGAGGGTTGGTTCACCCAAGTGGACATTGCCCCTAGTTAACCCATTTATAACCAGGGTTCGAACCACCAAGTAATACCCTCTGGTTATTTAACATAGCTATTGAACATTGCCATTTATAGTGGATTTTCCCATTAAAAATGGTGATTTTCCATAGCTACGTTAGTTTACCAGAGGGTAACCCAAAAAAAAAGATGGACAAAATGTGTTTCCAGGATGGAAGTGCGATGACCTATGGAGATAGTTCAACTATGTTCAACTTGATTCTTGATCATAAGTAACCCCTCAGATTTAAGATGATTCAAGTCAGCTAGGTTGGTGAACATAGCTCCAATGACTGCCTTGACATTTGGAATTATAACTGGGCCTAACCTTGTATAATTCTCAGCCAACTCTTCCCATAAGAGCTGCAACTTCTGATTGTTTCAGGGCCTGGGGGATGAAGGATACCATGCTATAGCAGCTATTTTGCTGTTTGGAGATATGACAAGAAAGTGTCTAAACATGTCTGCCTTCAAAATCTTTAGCACAAAAGTGTCCCTTCACTGGAGAAATATGATAGCAAAGAAGTATGACAAACCACCAAAATAGGGCAACATGCCCAAAATATACCAAAATGTTGGCAAATTGTATTAATCAATGGAGATACTCTATATGACCAACCCAAAATTGTGCGAGAAAATATCACCATTATGGAGAGAAGTGAACGCAAAAAGACTGGGGATGTTCAAAACTGGGATGTTCAAAACTGGGGATGTTCATCAAGCAACATTGGCTTCGAACCGGGAAAAGCTGTGGTTTGAAAAATAAAAACTGCAGATATCGATTTGTTTTAAAGAGTTGGGGATAAGTGCATCGTAGACAAAGGCTGACTTTGTACTTCAATGTACCATGTGAAGCAAACAGCTGCAGCCAGTGAGAATATAAAAATCTGTGGCGCAATCCCCACCGTGTTTGGATGGAAACCTGCCCAGGAATCCAGCAGTGAACAATCAAGCCCCTTAGTTGGTTGAAAAAATATGTTTTTCTGTACACTCTGGTTATGACTAACATAGCCATGGTGTAGATGGTCCATAGAAATAGATGGTTTACCGTTCTTAAAAATGGTGGATCTTTCCATGACTATGTTAAATAACCAGGTGGTACGTATACCCATTGTTTGTTGGTATAAAGTTTAAACCAGGTCCCACACAAAGAGCCCCAAAAAAAATCATCGGTGCCGCTGCGTCACGTGAAAGGCCCACTGTGCAAGGATGGCAGGTCGTGCCCAACATGAAGACAACTGGGTGGGTTCTCCTGCCGTCAACGTGCCACGAAAAACAACAGGTGGCATTTGTCCATATTTTTCCTATGCAAAACCCATCCGTTTGATTGCGCTTCTCTCCCAAAAAGTTGGATATCTGAAAGAAGTGCATGGTCGTTTTTTCAGGAAAAGGCAAGATGTTGAAGAGTTGATAGCGCTGAACATCCGTTGGTTGAGTTGGAAGGGTCCCAAGTGCATATCAATTATGCAATGATCAGCACCATCATAGTATTCATGTTTTCGAAAAAATTGAAGATCGCTTTTTTGCCCAAACTTTGAGAAGTTCCTCCTGTTCGGACAAACTTCTTGCTGTTTGGCGGTGCATGTTGATTGCACCGCAAGCCCTTGGAAGATGATCCACACATAAACCACGCTTTCCCGACCCAGAAGAAAGATCCCATTTCATTCGATTCGTTGGAAGGAAATCTTGCAGGAAAATCCATGTTTTTCCGAGAAAATCCATGTTTTCCCTATTGTTCCTCCAAGTGAAACTCTGGAACCTCCAGTCCTTCGAGAAAGGTCCCCCGACTCGCGAGCAGAAGTTCAAGGCATCCAGCGAGCTGAAATCGAAGGAGCCATGGCAGTTGGGTAAGGTGAGCCAGCCAAGTGCTCCGATCAACCGCAATCCGCACGGGATCACCTGAAAATCACCATGGCTTTGAAGCCAAAATGGATGAAATGTGAAGCAAAAAGCTTGGAGATGCTGGGATATTGCTGAGGAAGTTCAAGCCACTGTAGGTCTTGGGATTTGTAAGGCCAAAGAACAGAGGTTATACCTCGATTGCCTTCAGTTCTACTTGTAGTGGGGTGAAATCTACTAGATTTCAATTCAAGGTGTCCCTGAAATGTCGAAGACGTAGTTGCAAATCAGGTCAGCAAAGGCGACGTCTCAGAATCTTTCAAGGCTGGAAATCTTCTGATGTCAAGTTCATCATTTCAGTCTTGCTCAAAAATTGGGGTACCATCTGGTTATTTAACATAGCCACGGAAAGATCCACCATGTTTAAGAACGGTAAACCATCTATTTCGATTAGGGCCATCGAAAAACCATGGCAAACTGTTAGTCATAACCAGGCCGGGTACCTCAGCATGTGGCCTCCCGCCAAAATCGATGAAACCTTGAGGGTCACCAGTGGGACCTTGTCCCCCCACCTGCGCTCCCGGCGAAGCCAGATCTCTGCAGGCATGTTCCAGCACACTTAGCAACGACTCCCCCAGCCCGGAAGCGTCCATCAACTCGCTGACGATGATGTCATATCGACCCACCTGGTGTCAAGCTTAAAAACTGCAACCGTTCTTGGCAACTCCAAACATGTTTCTTACTATCCTATTGTTGAGCATCCAAAAATTGCTTTTGACATGTAACTTAACTATAAATATCTAACTATGAATCTCTAACTATCAATTTCTAACTATCAATTTCTAACTATCATTTTCTAACTATCATTTTCTAACTATCATTTTCTAACTATCATTTTCTAACTATCATTTTCTAACTATCAATTTCGAACTATCATTTTCTAACTATCAATTTCGAACTATCATTTTCTAACTATCAATTTCGAACTATCATTTTCTAACTGTCAATTTCGAACTATCATTTTCTAACTATCAATTTCGAACTATCATTTTCTAAGTATCATTTTCTAACTATCATTTTCTAACTATCAATTTCGAACTATCAATTTCGAACTATCATGTTCTAACTATCATTTTCTAACTATCATTTTCTAACTATCATTTTCTAACTATCAATTTCGAACTATCATTTTCAAACTATCCAGATGACCATGACATTTCTCCCAGCCATTTCCAGGCGCCATTTCCTACGGCCTCTTCAGAACGCAAGGATCTCACGTCTCCAGTGACCAGCTTCAACTGCGAGGGCTGCGAGGCCCTTGAGGCCCCAAAGACCTCCTGGGTGATGTCCTGAGATTTGCGCCGCCAGCGCGGTGCCCGAAACAACGATGATTCAATGGGATTCAATGGGGATATCCAACCAAGATGAAGGGTACTTTGAGAACTGATTCATGGTTAGATCCCAGTTAAATCAGGAAATAATCATCACAGTAATCCAACCAAAACTGATTTAACCACCAAAAAAACCTGGTGTAATGGATTTTTTTTTTGGAATATGGTGGCACAATGGATTTACTTAGGGTGAACTCTCCAGGCGTTGGATTTCCCTGGTTTGAAAACCTAGCTTTGATTCCCAAAGTGAGGCCCACAGTTATAAGTTGCTTTAGAAACACCATGAAACTGTAGATGTTTATAGTTTATATCATGTTATATCTCCCATAATCCATAGATTTCACCCTAGATTCGACATCCCAACGGACGTCCAAAAAAGTCACCGGCATTCGGCTGCTCAGCGCGAAAATGCTGCCACGCGTCCGAAAGCAGAGGTGACAACTCCACGGCAGTGATTTCCAGAGAAGGTCCTCCCTCCCTGCTTGCCAGTAAGGAGAGTAGCCTTGGAGTTCGCAAGATTTTTTGCCATCTCAACGCCTCCGAAAACGACGACACCTCACTTGTTCATACTTTTTCAAGGTCACCCCATGGATCATAAGTGGTCAATAAGCATAGCTAGTTCACCCATTTTTTGGTGGGATAACCGATGAATTGGGTACTTACCAACCAGGGTTATTCACCAGTTCCTAAGCGATATGATCCTCCAAGCAATATATTCGAATGAAACGTTGAATAGATCATATATTCCTCCGGTAATTTAACATAGCTATTGAAATGGCCCATTTATAGTGAGTTTTCCCATTAAAAATTGTGATTTTCCATAGCTATGTTAGTTTACCAGAGGGTATTCCTCCAAAAGTTGGAACTCTTGTTGATTCCCAAATGTTGATTCCCCGTTTTTTGGAACGAAACCTTGGAATTGTGGATCAACCTCGAAGCATTCGACGCAAAATTACCCCATGGCTTGAATTTCATCCACCGTTTCCAGATCCATATCTTTTTCGACGTTAAAAGCCCCAGAGAAAACCGATGATCCTTGGTGATATATCCCCATATCTTGTATAATATACAGATATCAAAAATTCACCTAATATGGTCATTAAACCGTTACTTAAAAAAAAAAAAGGTGCGTGCGGTGCAATCTCCCCAGCAAATATCTCCCCAGCAAATTCTTCCAGGCAGCCCAGCCCCGCAACCACAATCCAACAAGCGAAGGGCACCGGGCATCTTTCGCTGGACCGCACGGGAAATGGCCTGATGATAGCCGCGATTTCGTTGATGATCGTTCCTGGAGCTGGAAAAATTGGACCTTTGTGGATTTTTTGTGTTGGAAATTGAGTTCATACCTGAAAAAAAAGAAAAAAACAGATGATTCATTCAGAAAATCACTGGTTTAATGATGGTTCATCACTACTATGGTAGGCAAAATAAGTCATTTGACTTTCAGTGATAGGATGAATGAAAATCATTTGAAACTGTACAAAAAGTGCTCTGTAGTTTCTAGTTACTCTCCATGGGTGTCAGTTTTGCGGGGGAAAACTACGGGAAACCTGTGGTTTTCAGCACCAAATCCAAAGCTTTAGGCGGTGTCTCGATTTAAATCAGATAGCTGGTGACTATGAAAAATTTCAGGTGAGTGAATTATTATAAATATATGTGAACATAGTAAGTTATGTTCACATAATGTTTACAATTCACTATGTTCACAGATATCTGGGTAAATTATAATATATTATGATAATTCACTAACCTGAAACTTGCGGCTATTTGGGGGAAATTCCCCCTAATAACCATGATTCCAGTGAGGGAGAACAGTGAGGTCGTTATAGTTTACCCAGAAATATATATTCAATCAGTAAGTTACATGTATATCTTCCCCCAAGTCTTCCACCCATCATAGTTCAAGTTTCAACATCTTGAAATGCCACGGTGGCAACTTGGTCTTCCCCAATGGTGGCACCACCGTAGTTTCACAGTCATCCTCTGCCCAGTCGAACCAGAGTTTCACATCCGAAAAATTGGCCCAAAGGTGGAGAGTTTTCACGGACCCAACCTGCAGGGGAAAGACGTTAGTTTGAATGGAAAAAACCTGAACTTCGACAACTTCGACATCCAAAATTCACCAAATCCTCCAAGGGAAGGTGGTGTTAAAATGTGTTACCCTCTGGTTATGTCAAAATAGCTATTGAAAATGGTGATTTAGTTCGTGGATTTTCCCATTAAAAATTGTGATTTTCCAGTTCGCTATGTTAAATTACCAGAGGGTAAACATCTTTTTTGGCCCATAAAATGCCAGAAAATGGCCGTCCTTATCGAGAATTGTTAGATCTCACCTGCCTTGCGGCGAAACAGCAAGTGGGTTGGGATTTCGCCCAAAAAAGAGCCCGTGGGGTGTTCACCATCAAAAAGGATTATAGGGTGTTAGTACATAAACCAAAAAAATGGGAGGAAAAATATTGGGATGCTCTTTTCCAAACCAAATGTATGAAACCATTTTGGATTGGAAAACATTTGGTTTTATTATGTCCAATATACATTTGCCAAACATTGGGAGGGTTTCTTTTCCAAACCAAATCTTTTCCAAATCAAGTATGTCCAACATGTTATTCCAGGATTCCCTCACGTATTCACCACACAAAACAGCCCACCTCAACCCGTCTCACCGGTAAGGGCTGGATGCAGCGAATCCAGGCTTCGTCAAATTCCTCTGGCAACCCGGGGACCGTCACCCAGTAGGCGACGCCGGAGATGCTTCCAGGCTGGGGCAGAAAGGACAGGTGGGTGCGGTCCAACGCGTCCGCGTCGGCCACGAATTCGGACAGGGTGAAGTCGTAGATCACTTGGGAATTGGAGCGAAACCTTGCTGTCGAAGAGTGCCAAAAAACATCAAAAAAACCTGAAGGTGGGCTTCCCCAATGAGAGATTTCATGGTGTATGGGGATTTTACCATCAGTGGGGATTTAAGCAATGGTGAGTTGCTTGATTGCACGACTTCAACTGGATTTATGCTATATCCAACTAGATGGGGTGAAACTTTTTACCAACATGTCACTGAGGAGCACCAGCACCGCCGATGTCTTGGCTTTCCCAAAACGTTCCCTATTTCTGGTGGATTGACTGGCGAAATCTTCACAAAACATCGCTTTGAGATCCAGGAAACTGGGGATGAATATGACACGCACCCTTGGGCCATCTATGTGACACCCGCAAGTCAAAGCCCCTCATGCGTTCGAAGCGGTTCAGTTGGCAGCCCCGAATTCGCGGCAGGGTGTCGTCGATCAGCGCAGCTTTGATGATGATGCGCTCCTTGGGATGGTGGAGAATCACCTGGAATAGACAAAAATCATCCAGAAAAAAAGTACATCAATGATAAAGAAAAGTATCATCAGCTATCAAAATTCAGTACAACTTCAACTTCATCTGGTCAAGTCATGTTCAAATCCCGAAAACAACCATGATTACCATGGCCGCATCACCATCACCATTTTTTTCTTGGCGCATCCCTGTTTTCATAGATGTCCCATAGATTTTCCATAGATTTCCCATAGATTTCCCATAGATTTCCCATAGATTTCCCATAGATTTTCCATAGATGTCCCATAGATTTCCCATAGATTTCCCATAGATGTCCCATAGATTCTTGGCCATTCATCTCCCTTTTCTTCGACCAGACACCACGATTTCTCCAAGTCTCTGGAATCAGCCGAGGCATCCGTCCAGGCTCAGCCCGCAGATGGCGCCTGATGAGTTGCAGCTGGCCCCACTCCACCAGGCCGTCTTCGTCGAAGGCCACAACGAAGACATCGGCCGTGGGGTCAGCCCCTTCTCCCACCGTACAGGTGACCTAAGGGAGCCCCCAAAAAAAGCTGATGTGAACGTTGCTTTAGAACCGAAAATGAACTAGTTCCTTTTATAAATTATATAAATATCTAATTTTTAGATGTTCATAAATAACATAGTGGTCCATAGTTGGTTCATAAACCCCTAGAACACCAGATCGTTTTATCTCCCATAAAGCCAAACGTTAACCTAGTTATGTTCGTCAACTTAGCGATTTTGGGGTGCAATCATTTTGTCAAAGGTGAGCCATGCCAAAAAGGTCAATGTCATTGGAGATCAACGTCCCCTGAAATATGCGTGAAACATTGAGAATGAAAATTACCATCTGGTTATTTAACATAGCCATGGAAAATCACCATTTTTAATAGGTAAACCATCTATAAATGGGCTATTTTCCATGGCTATGTTAAATGACCAGATGGTACATACAACGTTACATCGATCTCCAATGGGATTTCATGATGCGTGAAACAACGTGATCTTTTCACCCACCCACCTGGTTGTGTTCAAACAATCTTTGGAGACACGCTCGCAGCAGAACCCGCGGTTCTGCCAAAGTGCTTTCGCAGCCCAATCGATGGGCGGCAGCGGCCAGTTGGCACCCGGAAGATCCGAAAATGGCCACTTTCACCTGGGGCATTGATTTCTCTGAAAAACTTTAAGGGTTACAAACGGGGTTTCTTATAAGGAAGCCCCGTTTGTCACAACAAGGGTTTCAATCCTAAAATGGTCATCCATGACTTGAATGATTTGGGGTACCCCCATGACTTCAGAAACCTCCCTGACAATATCCCAAAAAATCCTGTGCTTCAAAAACCTCATTGTCCGTATACCCTCTGGTAATTTACCATAGCTATTGAAAATGGCCCAGTCGAAATAGTTGATTTACCCATATAACATGGTGATTTTCTATAGTTTTTTGTATGTTTACCAGAGGGTATTTCAATAGCCGAATAGCCATTTAAGGGCATTTTCCGACATTCTCTGGGATTGGCTGAGTCGATTCTTGGGGCATCAATTCCCTTTGCGAATCATCTACCGCTTCGTCAGGACAGGCAGTGGATTATGGGCTGGTGGCAATGGATTAACCCGCCATGGATTTATCAGAGATCAACTTCCAACATGTCCAAATCAATTGCAATCCCTTTCCTTCCAATGAAATCCCCCATTTGTGTCCCATAAAATCTCATGAAATTCCAACAAAAAACTTCTCATACAATCCCAGTATCAAGTTTCCGGAGTTACCCTCTGGTAATTTGTTACAGTCTGCTATTGAAAAATGGCCCAGTCGAAATAGTTGATTTACCCATTAAAAATGGGTGGATCTTTCCATAGTTATGTTAGTTAATCACCATTTTTCATGGGAAAATCCACTATAAATCACCATTTTCCACAGTTTTTGGTATGTTTACCAGGCCGGGTAAAACCCAACTTCCCCACCTTCACATCCTTGGTGCCACTCATCTGTAGTTCACGAACCACCTGGTCCAACGCGGGTAGCAGGGCAGCACCGGAGGCGTAGGGAACTTTGGTCCAGTCCTGGTGGTCGATTGGGGAGAGATCATCGTGGTTTAGTTTGTTTCTGTTTTTTTATGGATGAAAAAAATGAAAAAACCAGGAATAGAAGCTCCAACCCACATCTTGTCTTATGTATTCTTATGTTATATCCGAATATTCTGTGGCGTTATTTCATGAATTATGCAAACTGAAGAAATCAAAGTCTGCCTGAAACCACCCCAACTCCTGTCTAGCCAGGTGTTTCGTCAACTCAATGGGCGCAAAGAGCTCCGACAGTCGACGGCCGAAGCGAATCAGACGTGCGGCATCCTCTTCTGCGCAGCCCGACAGCTTGGCCAAGATGGATGAATCGGCCTTGGATGTATTTTCAATGGTGATTCAATGGTGTTTTAATAGCTATTGGATGCAAATGGCCTTGGCCATCATATATCCCATTAAATCCCATTTTCAATAGCTATTTACCCATAATAATGGTGTTTTAATGGGATATATGATGGTGATTCAATGGGATTTAATGGGATATATGATGGCTTACCCTCTGGTAAACGTTTACAGTTTGCGAACTTGAAGCCATGGCCCAGTCAAAAGTTCGTTGATTTCCCCATTAAAGATGGGTGGATCTTTCCATATTTTTTTGCATGTTTACCAGTTTACCAGAGGGTATCCTCCAATAGATTCACATGACGACCCTGCCATGACTTGGGGGTTGGAAGATTAGTTTCCACTCTACCAGAGGGGTGATTTTCAAGGTCTATCTTAATCTACCAGAGAGTATGATGATCATAGAAACAATGAACCAAAAAAATGGAGGATAGATGATGATAGAAAGATATCCCAACTATGAACCATTGTGATGATGATGATGAACATAGAAACTATACACAACAATAGCTAAGCTGGTTTAGAACTCCAATAACTAGTGTTTATGATTGACTATACGTATACTTAATGGGGTTTATAAACCAACATGTAACAGGGTGTGGCGCACAAACAATAGCTAAGTTGGTTTCTACATCAATCCAATAATTGTTGGGTTTATTGGCAATTAAAGTACATGTAATTAAGTTTCTTTTTAAGAATATATGACGAGCATGGAAACATATCCCCAATTGATACCAAAAATCTGGTCAATGGAGATAAGGATTCCCAATAAAACTGCTGGACATTCACCACACTGGAAAATATCTTGAAATATCTTGACAGATATGGCTATGGGTCAAAAGCTTGTACCCCTGGTGAACCTCAAAATAGCTTGTAAATAGATGTTCATCCCACTAAAATTGATAGTAATAGGTTTTGACCCACCCCCATATGCCGTTCGCAACTCCAAGCAGCCGTTGACGTTGGAGACCCAAGGATTCTTTGCGAAAGTCTTCCACTCATCTCCCAAATCTCCATGCAGCTCACAGATCCAAAGCTCGGCCGTAACAAGTCCGCCCTCAGGGGGGTGGAGGAGTTGCTGCCTGGCAGGTGAGGATTCGAGCGATGAACCGACAGCTGGGCCAAGTCAAATTTCACCACTTCGAAGATGTCGATGGCCTTCTGCCGCAGCCGACCTTCCAAGTCGCAGAGTTCTTTTTCGGAGCCGCAGAGGTCGCACCAGATCCGCACGGAGGCCTGGGAAAAAACCAAGCCATGGATGGTGTTTACCACCCAAAAGAAAGGTGCTGAAAAACCGGACTGCCCAAAACATGAATAAAAATGGCATGTTTCATGGGGACAGGGATTATCTGCGTCAAGAACTTTGTAGGAATTCTTGGTTTTACGTGCATTTTCAGGTGAACTTAATATCCAATGCTTACACCTCCCAATTTCTCGTCAAAGCTCACAAATTGAAATCTCACGTTTTGGTGCAGTAAAAAAAACTCCCACCTCATCTGCAGCATTCAAATGTTTCAGCAAACTTTGCAGCTGCAAAAACGATGATGTCGACGGAGAAATGACAATATCACAAGCTGTTTGCGCTTCCTTCAGCCATTTTTCAGCTGCTTCCAATGCAACGCTTCGATCAGCTGGACTGTCACGACGTGGCCGGGCAATTGGACGCTGTCGCCAGTGACATCGATGGCCACTCACATGGCAGCTGGGAAGGCGTGCGCTGGAACCTTTTTGGTACACCATGGGGCCGCCATCCTTTGCACTGTCCAAACAGCAGCAGAACCTGATGTTTTTGGGTCTGAAAAACCAACCATTGGGTGTGTCCTTGATATGGATTTAAAATCTAAAGTCAACAAATGCTCTCCGACAGGTAGCCCAAGATTCGGAAGTCAAACATGCTCAGAGTTGCTGAAAATGAAAACCACGGGAGAAAATTTTTGCTATTAGCGGGAACATCCCAAGAAAATGAGCAGAACAGACCGCATATCCAATGTTGCGATGTGCACCAACCCAGTCTGCTGGGACATCGAGTTCTGCCCCACACATTCACAATTGAAGCAGCAGCGCAATTGCTTTCAAACGCCAGGCGCCCACATTTCAAGACCTTGTTGGGGTGCAAGGGCGATGTCACTGTCGTGAAATGCCACCTTCGATGGGCATGATTTATCCACCGGAGGTGATGTTGGGAACCCCACAACAAAAAATTAATGGGCCACCAGCTTCCACCATCACAAGTATGATATGTTTGCGCTGGTCTCTGAGGGTGACATTCTTCACAGCAGCCGGGCTTCTGCACTGCATTGCATCTCGAGACTCAGAATCTGATCCAACCGGTCGAATCAAGAAACCATATGAACAAGTCGAAAACACGAAAACGACACCAAACTATTTCACTCATTTGACCCGTTTTTTTATGTTTTGTTTTTTCAAAAAATGTCAACCGACACCTTAAGAGATCTGAGCAATGCGAAAAGCAAAAGAATTGAATTGGATTGTTGCAAAATGTTGCTTGGTCCTTTCGCGATTCCCATGGATTATGATCTTCACCATTTTCTGAAGGGTAGAAAATGGTAACCCCGAAGAAATTCTACCTCGACGGTGGCAAGAAATCTCCAAGAGCTTAGTCATTCCCTACCTCTGCAGTGCATCATGATTCAATTCCTAATCATGGATCACTTGTGACTCACACTTCCTTCCTTTGAAAAATCAGCGTTTCATTTGCTTTCCACCATCGTCTAAACCTTGGCTTAAGCTAAATTCCAGCTGAGATGAGCAAAGCGAATGTCAGCCCCGGATGAATGGCACCCTTGCGTTGCTGATGATTAGGGTGTACCGTTTTAGTACCAAATGGTATCACTACGCAACAGAAACCAACAAAAAAATTGATCAACCAGGGTTGACATTCATCTGGGGTCAAACGATGTGGCGGCAGATTTGCTTGCTGCCTTCAATTACACGCAGTCAGCGTGGCCCATTTGACCACAACGTTTCAGGCGTTGATGTGATAGACAGGCACCTGAAACTGACTGTTGCTTGAAGGTGTTTGCCATCCAAAAACCCGTCCAGGTTAAGGGGAAAACCCTTGACCGAACCACGGAATCTCAACTGCTGGAATTTGACTCCATGTCGACACTTGATTCACCAGAAAGAACCATGAGTGCTGGGACCCGATGCTGGTCCGGAGTTCCTCTTCGGTCAAGTTCACGAGCCTCGTCCCAAACCGAGTTGCAGAAGGAAACATATGGAAACATGGAATAAGGTGGGGCACTAATATCCCCAGGAATGCAATGACACCAAGTGCTCATGGGTCATCTGCAACTCAAGTTCTGGGATAATCATAGCAGGTTAAAGTCCCGTGCCTGGAATCCATCGCTATAAATAGTCAACAAAGTGAACATCACAACATCATGATCTTCCCAAATCACCTTTTTTCACCTTCAAACGTGGCCATGGTCTTCTGCTGGGTTGGGCCCGTTGGGCCCGTCGGGCCCGACGAGAATTTGGGGCAGTCGGGCAGTCCTGCTGCATGAGGTTTTTGGAAAGGGATCTTGTAGGGATCCTGTCGAGATCCTCGCAGATTCCTGATTTTGTAGAAGTCCTTGCGAGGAGATCTTGTGGATATCCTAGTGAAATCCTTTGTTGTAGAGGTGTTTGTGAGGAGATCTTGCGCACATCCTGCTGGAATCCTCTAAAAGATATTTGCGCGAAGATCTAGAAGGTGCTTGTATGAAAGTTTGCAGGGGAAGCCTTCAAGAGGTTCTTGTACAAAGATCTTGTCAGATCCCCTCTATCAGGTCTTTCTTTGACGACTGTGTGAAATTCTCATTGAGGTCCTGGCTTGAGGTCCTGGAGTTTTTGTTCACAGATGTTTTCCTCAACGCTGTTAGGGCCTTTTTGCCGGGGATGATTGTCTCTATTTTTTGTTTGAAAAGGTAGAGCCGTGCAGCGTAATTAGGTATAAGATATACATAAAGAACAACCACTCAATAAATAAATGTTTATGTGTGTATACGCATTAGAAAGATACAAGATGCATACATTTATGTATATATACATATGTTGAAATACGGCTAATGCCTGGGTTTAGCCTGGCAGGGCAACGACGATGGGCAACGAAGCGTCGTCGTCATCATCATCATCATCATCATCATCCCTTGTTGATCTTTCCAGTCGAAAGCAAAAGCAAACGAGAGTGGGATTTTTTATATTCCTAATACCTGTGGTGATCTTCCCACTTGAATCTAAAAGTTCAAGCAGGGTGGGCAATTGTGTTTCTAAGGGAGCTTTTATTCCAAATACCTATCGGTGATCTTCCCAATTGAATGTAAAATTCACAGGCGGGGAACTTATATGCCAAATAATTACCCTTGTTGATTTGCCTGCTTGAATGTAAAGTTGAACAGAGATGTGATTCTGAATTCCTAATACCTTTGTTGATTTTCCGCATTGAATATTAAGTTAGCCGGGGGTGGGAATCTATATTCCCAGTACCGTTGTTGATCTTCCCAATTGAATGTAAAGTGTAACGCCAGCACCAGAAGGGATGATGGGTTCATTCAGCGCCACGGCCTCTCGAGCCCGTCGAGCCCATCGAGCCCGTTGGGCCCGTTGGGCCCGTCGGGCCCGTTGAGCCCGTGAAGCAGGCCCACTGGGGCCCGTTGGAGCCCGTTGGGCCCGTCGGGCCCGTTGGGCCCGTCGGGCCCGTTGAGCCCGAACCTAGGAAAGGATTATTCTCACGTTCAAGGCTGCAGCAGCTGGGGCCTGGTCATCACGACCGGCATTGTGTCATTCTGACGCGTGGCTCTTGGATGCTTGACCTTTTAGCCATAGCAACGAAATGGGTGAAACCGGGGCCACATGTCCTTATGCAAGTTAATCCAGCGTGTTTTGTTTTCACTGCCCTTGAAAGTAAGAAGCATAAAGCAAACATATCTACACATGGCTATGGGCTACCGTTGGGGTGACCAATCAAAAATCATTTTTGGTGGCACGCTTGGTAAACAACCTGTGACGCCCAAGTTTCCATGGCTTTCTTTGGACACTGGACCCAGAGTGGATCAACTCGCCTCTCAGAATTCACCTGGTGCTTCTGACCAACGGGGCTGGCACCAGAAGTTGACACAGTTCATCACAACACCGTTGTCAAAGGGGTTCCTGGCAGGAAGGATTTCACTCAGGGCTGGGGGGTTGCGCCACAGTGGCGCCGTGGAATTTTCATTGGGGGACCTACGGGATCAACACGAACATTACCAACTACATGACATGCAAACTAAAGAACATAAAGGATTACAGGGGGGTGGGTTGGTGAAGGGGCTTTGGAGTTTGGCGTGCGTGGGGGGACGCATTATCTAAAACCAGAGAACAATTGGCATTTTGTGACCAGCGCGCACGCCTCAAGATTCGCCACAAGAAAATTCCCCGGGGCTGCTCTGTTCCCATGTTGAAACCGCTGGCCCAACCCTGCCTCGATGGATCATAGACAAACTCGTCCCGGTCGAATATGTCATTGTACTCATCCTCGTCACTCAGGTCCACCGCTGCAACGTTGTTGCCTTTGCTGGTGCCGTGGGCCACATAATAAAGTGTTCGCTTCCATTCCTGCGCTGCCAAAGTTTATAACACCCATGTTTTAGTGAAATGAATACTCCGTTTTGAGGGGTAAAGAGGTGCAACGCTGCTCAATGAAGTTCAATGCTACAAATTGTTCTTGCAGTCAAGTCATGGCTCAAAGAAAAGGCAATCATGGTGATTGATGTGTGTTACAGTAATGCATCTTATATCATCTGACCAACTTTATATATATATATTTATTTATAAAGGGTTCCGCAGGAGTGTTTCGGGCAGTTTTCAAGGGCTGTCTTGAACTAACGGTCCATGACTACTTTCAGACTGACTGAAATTTCAGCCTCAAAGTTTGGTCAGATCTCCATCTAAATTGAAGAAGAATGCCAGCAGCCCAGGTGCAAGCGTTTCTTCAGCGAGGAATACGAAGTCTAACTTTTCTTGGACATGAACGGACATGAATGGAAGCCTTAGCCCAAAAAACTTGTGCGGCATGTTTCGGCTGAACCTTACTACAAGAATCACCACAAATGATAAAAAGTATTCAGGTTAAAGATGGTTTCAATCTTCGGCCAAATGGCCGAAAGACAAACGCACACTTGTTGTCTACTGGCTACTTCCTTGAACTGAAGCCCCAGCATTAGACATCAGAAAGGAAAATCTGGTTCAGATCGCTTACCAGAAAACATACATTGAGACATGCAGCGTTGCTTCACAATTAATACCCTGAAACTGGCCTTGAAGTAGGTTTTCTGAAAGTTTTGTTGTCTCCAAAGATAAAATCGCGCATTGAAAGACACGAGCCGTTTTTGAACAAACATGCGTACGTTGCGAAACACTATTGGCATTGTTTCTTGCAATGTTCGTCCTCGCATCCCTGTCCCCTTGCTTTCAGCCATTACTTGCCCCAAAGCTTAAGAGCTCTTCGCCAAAATGAACTCTTCCACCCGTCATAACATTTGGATTCTTTGGTCCTGGCCCAGCTCGTTGCGCATTATCAGGCCGAAGTGGATCTTCTCTACTTCGTGTGCCCAATCTTGAAGATTGGGCACACGAAGTAGAGAAGGCCAATGGAATATCCCAAGCGCAAAGCTACCAAGATCTCCCTCTGCCGTCCACCCCCCTTCTTCGCCATTAGAACACCCAGCCGAATGTCCACCGCCATGCCGAGGACGCTGATCAAAACCAGCCCTGCCACCATGATCACGAACTCCCGATGGTTCCGTAGACCAATCCTAGCTGGTGCGCTCAGTGCGCTCAACCCATCTGAAAAAAATCAATCATTCGGGAGTATCATCCCGACTGGGGTTGGAAAAGAAACATGTTCGAAGAAACCAACAAGGATCGTGTTCTTCAACCACTTACAATAGCGGTCGTAGCGACGCACATGTCTGGCATATTGCCACGACCAGTGCGCTCGCTGCATGCCATTCTCAATGTCCGAGGCGTCTTCTTCCATGTGGACTGAGCCAGGATCCGCCCATGTGCAATATACCATCAGGATGGGCCTTTTTCTGGAGCACCAGCTTTGGCGGCGACGTGTGCCTGCCGCGAGTCAAGCGTAGAATGGGCGGGCGGCCTGTCGCATCATCCATCATCAACCTGTGCAGTTTCGGTTGCGCCAGGCTCTTGCCCAACTTTTCCAGCTCGGTTTTGCAGGCGATCCCGGGGCGCGAGGGCGGGCACACCGTCTATTCGCCGTGGGATCTGGAAGAGAGCCGCATTGACAAGTTGCCCTTAGAGGCTACTTAGATGGGCTGTGGGGTTACTAACTGGTTAAGTGAGTTAGGTTCAACTCCAATTCTGAATGCCTTTCAGAATGTTGCTTTCGCTATCATCATTGAGAGACAAAACAAACTACACTTCTCCGATCAATGTCAAACAAAGTTCCTTCTTCCGAAGTCACAAAATGAATTCTACGATCTTCTCACGATTCCTTCGTGTACTTCGTCGACGACAACTAATGCAAAAGGTATGGAAAATAGTTTGATTTTCCATGTCACTATACAAATTCAAATCCTCACGATGTTCTCCGTGCAATCAAAGTACTCAAAGAAGACGAAAAGTATATCGTTGTTGGGTTTCGTCATCTCCAATAAAACGTGCAAAACATGAAACGTGCAAATACGATGTCAACCATCACGGTTGAGCTCATCATCAAGATGAAAAACCAAATTCACTTCTTCCAATGCAGAAAAGACCAATGAAAAGACCAATGGATTCATCTCACCACAGATGTCAAATTTTCACACCAGGTCGTTCAATATGTTTTATTGCATGTTGCAAATTGGCATTAATTGATTAATTATTGCATACGCAGGCCGTCTGCGGTTGAGTGGCCTCAAAAGTGAACTGGCGAAGGACCGGTACGTAGTCCTGTGTACTGTCACAATATCATCACCAAAACACAAAACCAAACAGAAGCAAAGCACCAAAAACCAACAAAACACAGAAACACAAAAACACAAAAACACAAAAACAACCAAACCAAAAGGCAACCCACACAAGCAAAACAGCAACGTGACAGATTCCAGTTCATGGGTGAAATGGGTTAACTGATGCAAGAGGTGATAACCTTGTATCATCTCAGTATGGTATGGCAAAGCAACAGGACAACCAACAAAAAACACACAGGCCATACCAGCGAGAGGGTGAAAGAAGCAACAAAGCTCAATGCGGAAACCAGGGATCCCTCCAGCCAGGATCCCCGAGATCACAGAGAGCAGCCGTTAAGGCATAACGATACACCCAAACACTTCGAAGCAAACATCGACGACGCCGTGTCGCAACGAGAGTGGTGAAAAAAGAATGAAGGGTGAGACAGGAGGTGAGACATGATCTAATGTGAAAAAGACAGCGGTAGCTACGGCATTCAGGGCGCACTCAGAGTCCGCTCAGTAGTTCTTTTCCAAGCATCATCGTCATTGGGGGCTGCCAGGCACTCTTGCGGTGCACGCTGCTTTCAAAACTGTATCCAATGCGATCGAGTCAGCGATGATCGCTGGCTCGACAGCATTGATGCGGGCGCTCGCCCAAGCTGCTGTGCTCGTATTTGGTCTTCCAAGAGTCTTTCGAGCACCTGAGGAGTGGACAACATCAGTAAAGGGAGAAGTCTTCGATCTCGTACAGTGTTCCCAGCGGATCCATACGGGAGAGGCAGCCAACACTTCGCAAGCTCCGCATTCTCTGGTTGACCGGCCGAAACGATGGGCACAGTGGGTTTTCTCAATGAATAGCCTGTGGCAAGAGGACTCTCCTATGCCAGATCGACCTCTCACTGTACATTGCAGTGGACTGGGAGGCGGACTGCTAAGCCCTGACCATGATTACGACCTGTTCTTCCAGAACCATGCGCAAATGAAAGTGTATGGGCCCTTCGCTGGCAATGACGGATGATTGGGAGCAGCGCATCACCCAACTCGGGTTGACCAAAACAACGCATGAGTATGCAATCTACCAGCTTTTCTCCACTGCAGTGGGATGGAGTGCATGGAAGGAATTTTTGCCGGACAGATTTGCCAACCTCAAGCTCTTGATCACCCGTGCCATACGGCTGTTGACGGCGGCTACCATCCGGCCACCTCATGCGAGACCTCCACCCCACATGGGTCACAGCAGTTCGTCAAATCTTCAGATGCTACCAACCACAAGGCAAACTGTTGTTGGTGCGAGCGTGCTTTCCCCATCTTGTGACAGCTTCCATCCCAGATGGCATAAGAGACATTGATGTTCTCGGGTTTTCGGCTGGATCGTACACTGGATTGGCTATCCACAAAGTGCTCAATGAGTTCGATTGCTTCCCAGGTACGGTTGTGTGCTGGCAAGGAGTTGCGACAGCTGTACTCATGAGTCAGAAGAGAGAAATAAGCTGACTGACACGAGTTGTGTGCTGGCAAGAGGTTGCGACAGCTGTACTCGTGAGTCAGAAGTAATGAGAAGTGAAACGGCTGACATGGGTTGTGTGCTGGCAAGAGGTTGCGACAGCTGTACTCATGAGCCATGCATGTCCGTAGCCTTTGGCTCAAGGCTGTATCGGCTCAAACCCCGTGGGTACTGGGTAACCTAATTTTAACTCAAGGGGCAAACATCCATCTTGGGTGATTTGCGTGAGTTAATTTTGGGGGCACCAGTAAAAAAGGGGCTAGGGTAGTACTGCCGTAGGAAGAGCACAAACGTGCCCGCCAACCTGTTTTGTTTTGTTGATAATTTGGGAGAGGGGGGGGGTTATCTTAGTTTTGTTTATTTAAGATCTACCTTCTCGGTTTTGGCATACTGGCTTTGTGTCCATTGAACACACTGTTTTGAACCCCACTTGTTTCAGGACTCCTGGGGTTGCAGAAGGTACCGCAACCTTCGAAACCCTTGGGTCAGCGTCCAGGACGTCGTCCTTAACTCTTAGAACCGTCCACGCTACCAAGTCAACCACTCCCAGAGCTCAGCCACTTTTTACCAAACACACAAGCACAAGGAGAAAGATGTCTGCTCATGTCGCTATGGTTCTTGTTGGTGTGTCACGCCTTGACACAAAATGATGCGGAGTCGCCAGTCAGCATCTTTCTGCTAACTTTCACAAAAGCGATCAAAAACACATGTCCTCACAAAAAGTCTTTACATCAAGACATGGTTTGTTTGTTTAAATAAGTTTGAGTGTTTGAAAAACGTTGAAACATTTCAAGCACCAAAACATGATTCATGATGTCTCCCTCAGATCTGTTAGCAACTCCAGTTCTGAATGCCTTTCAGAACGTTGCTCTCGCTATCATCATTGAGAGACAAAACACACTACTCTTCTCCAATCAATGTCAAACAAAGTTCCTTCTTCCGAAGTCACAAAATGAATTCTACGATCTTCTCACGATTCCTTCGTGCACTTCTGCGATGATTCTGTCGACAAAACTAAAGCAAAGTATATGGAAAATGGTTTGATTTTCCATGTCACTATACAAATTCAAATCCTCACAATGTTCTCCGTGCAATCAAAGTACTCAAAGAAGACGAAAAGTATATCGTTGTTGGGTTTCGTCATCTCCAATAAAACGTGCAAAACATGAAACGTGCAAATACGATGTCAACCATCACGGTTGAGCTCATCATCAAGATGAAAACCAAATTCACTTCTTCCAATGCAGAAAAGACCAATGGATTCATCTCACCACAGATGTCAAATTTTCACACCCCCTTTTGAGATGAACTCCATTCCATAGGTATACGCTGTAACCCATCCAGACTTCAGCACATATCGCTCAAACTCGACAGGTCAATACATATAGTACGAATTGTCCCGTTGTCCACCATCCAATGAACAACCAGCTCATAGTCTTTTCTTTGCCTTTGCACCAATGAAGATATTCTCAATCACCCAACTGCCTCTGCACTGAAGTTCCAGTGAAGCAACCCTTTGGCTTTCCAACCTTTCCAGAGTCCTCCACAACCTTGCACGCGCAGAGAAAAGAATACCAATCCTTTGCAATTGGACTTGTACTCTTGTTTCCCAGGTGATTCATACTCCATTTGCAATATCCTGCCATCTCTTCATCGACATATACCTCACGGTATGTTTTGCCTTCATTGGCAAACTTTCCAAACGCAAACTTCGTTCTGCTCCAATCTCGAAAACTCATGCCTTCAGGCACCAAATCAGCAGTAAGCTGATCAAGAACCTTGTCGGCAATCCCAGGAAAGATTGGGATAGGCATCACAGGCAACTGTGCATTCAAAGGTTCAGCTGCCGAAGAAATCACATCGAATTCATCATCATCCAGAGCCTCACGAAGTCGCTTGCTTCCGTCTGTCATTGCTCCTTGACTCTCCAAAGGAGTCAAAACACTGGATCCGGCTGCATAGCCTGACCCTGGATTTCCACTATTCCACTTCTTCTGAAGAAGAGCAAGCAAAGCTTTCTCATCCTCATCTGTCCATCCAGACTTGGCCATGGCTACAAACCAAACCGCGTCCGGTAGTGAAAAAGCACTAGACTGTGGCTAAACTCTTAGGAGCAATCAACCTAGAACGTGAAACGAAGTGTCGAACCGCCATCACAAGTGTGATAGGATCAGTGGCCTTTCAGATTGTTCTGCACTGCGCACACACACACTGCATCTTACAGCATCGCGCAACAAAACTCTGCACAAGATGAAACATCGTGAAAACTCCTGTTTGTCTTTGGCAACGTTTGTTTGAAAACAACGTGCAAACAGAAATGAAACGAATGAAACGAAACGTGGATCCAACTTCTGTCTCTCTCTCTGTCACAGGGTCCCCCTTTTAAACGCAAATTCAACTCTTCTTCTTCGAAGCATGTTTGACCGCAATCAAAATGTATCTTGCCAACTTTCGGTTGTAAAACGCTGTTTCAGTATAGTTGATTTGATAAAGTTCTGCATGAGTCTGACATGTGCATGTTGAAAGTTTGGAGTGAAGATTTAGTGCAAACCAAGCTGAATTGGAAACAAACTTCAA